CCTATTTGATTTCCTAATTCTAGTTCTGGTTGTGGTCATTCGAGCTTCATTTCCTTCCTTCTGACATATGTAGTCATCTCCATTATGCGGTCTGTCTGTCAGGACAGTGTCTAACACAAAACATACTGACAACAGAGCATCTTGGGATTTTTACTGCTACCTGTGTAGTGCCAAGCATGACTAAAATCCTCATCTCTTACACCACTCCTCCTGTCCCTCATTATTCCAGATTACTGAGGGGAGCTAGTCAAAATTCAGCTAGTCAAAAATGAAGCTACAGTAAAATTCTGAAAGTTCAAAGTTGCCTGTTTGCTGTTGGAAAAAGATGTGCTGGAAAGATTCAGAGACACCTTCCAGATCTGCAGCTACTGGCAATTCATTAGTAGGTTTTGTGGTTAGACAGTATCAGCTTTTCTGCTATCCATTTAGTAGTTATATATTTAAAAAGTCAAAAAGCTTTGATCCTCTCAGACACTTGCATATGTTCTCTCAGTAAGAGTCTTACTGATACTAATAGGATAATTCACAGTTAAGGTGCCATCTCAGGTGTACAAGTGTTTGATGAATTGGAGCACAAACAAACAACAGACAAAGGAATATGCTCAAAACATTAGCCCAGTCTCACCTCTCTGCTCCCCATGAAACCCAAACATATCACATTTTATTCATAGGCTTAATTATCGTTTAACTCCTGACCTTTAACTTCTATTTTCTCATTTGTGTTGGCGTTTAGATTGGTGTACATGTAATCTATTTAGATTGCACGTTTTGCTCTGAGCAAGGTCAACAGCTTATCTGGGAACTTCTATCACTTTTAGCAAAACGGGGTTCACTTCTCTGTTGACTTTTTGAAGTGCCACAGTACCATAAATTACAATAAATTCCATTTCTGATCCTTGAAACCTGTGTTATAGCTAAACTACATATTTTCCCTCCTACATCTTCCTTTCACGTTGTGACCCCTGACTTTTCTCAGCCTCCACACCATATTTCCCTCCCACATGATAGCTAAATTTAAATCAAGACTGGATGATTGTCTTTTATGTATAGCTCACTCTAGGAACTTGATTCAGGAATTACTGAGAAAAATCCATGCATTGAGTAGGTCAGACTAAATAACCATAGCTGGCCGTAGCTTGAAAAATCTCTTTTTCTTCCATGCACTGAGCTTTTCTTTACATCTCAAACATATATTAGGAGCCTGTAGTTGACTAATATCCATAGGCAGTGATGGTCTATGTGCTTTATAAAAAAGGTTCACAGGAAGAGGCAAGATGTTCCCATTATTTCAAGGAGACTCACTCTGTAGTCTCATAGTGTTAGAAACTAAACACCCTTGGCACTGATATACAGTGTACCTCTTCCAACAAATATGGAGCAACAGAACTTCTCAGAAAATACATCGCACAGGACAACATATAAAAGCTTTCTCAGAAGGAGCCTTGGTTCCAGGGCCTGGGGTTCATAAAACCACAGAAACACACATCCTCCCCTTCTTCACACTTTTCTCCCGAGCAAACATTTTGAAGGCAGTTTCTGGAGACAAATCTTGAGGGATTTCCTCAGCCAGTTTCCATTTCTTACACATATTCCTATAGTAGAGGCACCAGCCCTTCATTTGCATCTCATCTGTGCCAGTGGGTTTCAGCCTTTCCTGTTTATAGTTTATATACCATCATGGCAGCAGCGCCATTAGGATAATTATAGTTATGATAGAACTCCCTTGCACACTACCAAGAGACATTTTATGTCTAGATAATGAGGTCAGAAATTTCCAAGATTTGAGGAACAAGGACAAATTGTTTTGGCAACATGCCTGATTTACTCCCAGATTTCCCTGTACCATGTTCTCCTACAGCAGACCTCATCTGCTTTTCTGCGTTAATGTTAGACACTACTTTCTGCTTCACACTCCTCTTCCCCTAGAATGAACCATATCATGTTTTACCCTCTGCAGAAGCTCTCATACTAAGGGCCACCACCAGCATGGAGGCCAATGGAGAGCTCTTCCAGTTAAGATAATTCCAGAAGCAATGGTGAGGGGCAAAGGGAAGGAATCATAGGCCAAAATCATATTCAAGTAAGTGTTCCTAAATAAACATCATTGAACATACTTCTAGGCTGTTGTTACATTGCAAGTAACAAGAGGAAACAACTTAATCTGCTACTCACAATTGTGTTCTGGTCTTCCAAACTCATCCTGTATGCTGTTGCTGTTTCTTCAAGGGAGTCACATATTCCAGGGCATTTCTGCTCTACGCTAGCCTGTGAGATCTGATAGTCCAGGTTTTATTTAGCACTTAGTCTCATGTCACATTCAAGGCCAGACTAACACAGCTATTTACTCAATTCATACTATTGCACCAAAATTCATACCGAGGCACCACAATTTTCACAGAGCCATGCTTTGTAGACCTAATAAGTCTAAATATGACTTGACTGTGCACTTAAATTGAAGATATGGTCATCAAAACAGGTATATTACAAGTGAATTCCTGGCCCAAACAAAATCAGTAGCAAAACTATCACTAAGAAATACCCATCTTAAAACAGCACTATCATTCTTAGCAGCTATGCAGAGAGTAAGCTTCATACAAAGCAGAGCAGCTGATTTAGGAAAAGCATTGCAACTGCCTCATGTCCTAGCAATCAAAACAAAGCACCTTGCACTCTCAGACATTTATCCTTGCTATAAAATCTTAATCTAACCTATGCAGACTATCAGGATGTTAGCATAAGGCCTGCTACTCTAGGCTCAGTTACCATTTTACAGAAGAAACAGCACACACCAACACTTACTACTGCATGAGATTTTGCAGTCTTTCAATATGCCCTGAGCCAGATATCATCTTCTTGGCTAAGACTCATACTGTGTCTGTACACAACTATTCTATCAGTGTTGCTACAGCTGTACATTATGAAACTCCTTAAACGCCTAATACATGCTTTTGGCACAGGTCTGCTGAGCAGGTGTGTTGCGCAAAGAATTCTTTAGGACTAGCAGGGATTAAACAGCATTTTGTGGGTCTCAGGAGCTGCAGTTTATGGTGCTCCGAGCTCAGTAAGGCCAAGTTTCCTCTGCTCAGCAGAGCCAAACGATGTTGCACATTCAAATATACAAACACAGAAGGAGAAGTGAACGACTATGATGAAAGTGTAGGATGAGTCCAGTACCACTGATTTTTTAAATCTCTGACTCGCAACAATTTAAGATAAAGCTTTGCATACAAGCATGCTCCCAAATGCAGACATCTGGAGAACAAGTGCATCTGGGCTAAAAATATATCTGATATATTCCAGGAAGGTACAAGAAGCTGGGAAACATATTCTTTGTATAAAATATCTTCCTAAAACACTCCTACAGTGAAGCTTCCGTGACCTTACCATTTTTGCTGAAGTATCACCTTAGATAATATCACACGGTTGGGATACTTTGAAAACCTGGAATTGCTAAAGGCTTTAGTGCTAGAGGTTTTGCTGCCTTAAGATACAGTGACACCATGCGGCCAATTGCTTAGCCCAGAAACGACATGTTAACGGGATGAGCAGTGTACAATTGTCTCATTTTTCTTTTGCTTTATTAAACTTAATTTAGAGATGCTCAGATGCAACTATATGGACTGGAGAGAGTAAACTTGGATAGAACAATTGTCACCTGAACAGGTAGGCAAAACCAAAGCCAATGACTATTTGGGATTTCAGCATACATTCAAAACTTTAATGTTTGCAGAAGTATCCACTGAAAACATAACTGTAAGTTCAGCAAGTAAATACCCATAAGCACAGTTTGCACATGTGCCAAAATACCATATTCACTTGGTAGATGCAAGCAACAGGTAGAGCTATGATTCTATATTCTTCTCAAAGATATGCACCTCAAAGACGCACCTATCTATCTATGGTTTAATTCTGCAGTAATATCATAAAATACTGCAACTAATTTTGAAAATTGATAGATTTTTGCTTTTCTCTCATGGCTTGTTTTCCTTCCAAGTATATGCAGATACCTCAGTTTATTTTTACAGACATTCCTGGGGAAAGTATTTAAATTCACAAGTGGGAATATTGCTGCTAGAAATGTTCTCAGTAGTTGTTATTACTCTGTGTTACATAATATGGTGACTGATGTGATGAATCATCTCTCCCTAGCACAGTTCTTTTTTTCCAGCTCAAGTATACATTTGAAAGGTACAGCTCATGACAAATGGTAAGAATGCTCAGATTTCTTTGAAAGAGAGACACAAGAGACAGAGACAGGCAGGCAAATAGGAGGATGAAAACTGAATATAGATGACTTACATATCCCTCAAACACAAAGGGAATAATACATTAAATAAGCTCTTCACAGAGAATATACTCACTCAGTACTACTATAAAAAAAAATTAATGTTCAGTAAGAAATGCATATTCTGAGGCAGGTTTCAGAATATCTTGCTCGCAAGAGCAGAAAGGAAGGAAAATATACAAAACATGACACTCAGTTGCATAGGCTTTGCATAGTCAGTGTTCCATAAAAGCTGCCTTTTTTATTGGTTAGTTAGATAATATGCTGGTGTAATTTTTTGTACAGTATTGAAATCCAGGTGAGCAGTTTATTTCAACACTATCACAGAGCATCTGAATTTAAATTAAATCAGTTTGAAAAGCAATGTAACAGGATTTTCACCTACATACATAATAGTTTCACCTATATACACAGTAGTTTAGAGCCCAGGAAGCACCAGCTAGTTAGTCACAGAACTTTCTGATTACTCAAACAGGAGTTTGAGTTGAGGAAGATTAGTAACCTGATCCCTCAAATTTTGTCACCCTGACCAGTGAAATTATGCTGCCATCTTGTGACCTGTAAATTCTACTTTGCTATCGTGGCAGCAATTTTTCCCCTAAACTGGGAGGACAGTGTACATGTCTCCCCGGTATACAGGAGCAATGGCCATGCTTTGAGCAGCTGAGACCTCTTTTATATTCACACCCGTGTTTTCTCTGCTTAACTTTCTTACCTGTGACTCAGTGGCTGCACCCTTCAAGGTCATTGTCACTGCTAATGGAAGTGCTGTCCATGGACAGGCCTGGATAAGGACTGGAGGCAGTCCTGCAGAGAGGGTGAAACCCATAGGTTAAAGGAGTAGGGTTTTGTAATAAAAGCTATAGAATGTTCCCCTGCTGCCAAGAGAATTATCCATACCGGAAAGCAAAACACACACTTAGCCAGCATTTGAATATGACAGCATACACTGAAAAAAAGATATACTCTTTATGGCTGGGAAGAAGAATTATTACAAATGATTGTACAATTTTGTACATTTATGATAACATTTTCCTCTCCATCTTTCCAAGTGTAAAGCTTGTATATTTATGGTAGAATTTTTCTTGCTTGAAAAAAACGTTATGATTGGCTGTATTCTGAATTTAAATGGGGTTGTTCCATCTGGTGAAATTAAATATAACAGCTGTATGTTCAGGTGGTTATAGTGTTCCCTTGAAACAACACAGACTTCAGTTGCAGTGACTGCTTACATAGCATTTTGGAATACCTGGAAAAAGCTTAGTATGGCTGAAATCACAATGAAAAGCAAGCTGGGAACAACTCTGCTAGTGAACCTCAACTACATGTGCTTCCATCAGTGTTCACTCCCAAGACACTTCAGAAGTGAATTGAAGAATCAAACTTTGAAATGCTGACAATCTGAAATGCACATGCAAGGAAGGAACAGGGACACACCAGCTGCAAGCAGGCTTGAGAGCTCTGAGCTAACAAGGCAGTTGCTTTGAGCTCGGACACGTGTGTGGGAGAGCCCACGGAGGCATGCACAGCTAGAAGGTTCCCTCAACACGTCTGACTGGAGACAAATCTTCCTTACCAAAGCCTCAACCATTACACATCCAAATCACTGAAGTATTTTCTCTCTAATCCTTGTATGCCAAAGTAAACCAAAACATCCTGCATTTAGACTCCAATTAGAGTTTCCAGGACATGCTGCAATTTTTTCAGGATATGGTATAGCAGAATGAAGGTTCCCAGCTAGCAGCTAAAGGTTATGTTTGCCTCTTCCCTGTTTTTGAGGAGGCTAATTGCATTGCAATGATTGTATAAGTGGAACACCAAATAATGTGACAATGGGGACTTTATACTTCCTTATAATACTAAAATATTCAGGCAAATGCACAGCCAGCTGAACCATCTCTGTGACACTTAGAAGTATATTTCAACAATCATAAAAATAACTATTACTGTTGTGGCAGCGCAAAGCTCTGGGCAGACTTACAGCTAATTCATTTGCAAAGTTAAGTCAAGAAAAAAAAAAAAGAAGAGTGTGAAAGCATGTGGTTACCGTTCCTCAGTGAGTCTGTGATGATAGGCATAGACCTTCCTTAACACCAGAATTTGTTCATTCAGAGGAGAAGGAAGGTGTCTCAAGTTTCTTTCTTTCCAACATTCTGGTCAGCAATTTGTCAGGGGAGACATTTGGTATAGTCACCTCAGGAGGAGAGCCCTTGACACTGTGCTGCAAGTTAGCAGCAACTCATCTGCCGTGGCACAGCAGGGTGCAGCAGGGATGCCGCAGCTTGCACAGCTGGTGTGCCGGAGAAGCGAAGGGTGAGGGCCAATTGCAAAAGCCTAAACCTACCATAGGAGATCCAACTGGGGTAGCTGAGCCTTCTGAAAAGGCTGAGAAAGGATGTGTATACTGTTGTTGCTGCAACTGTAAATGCTTTTTACTCTGGAGAGCCACTTTCTGATCCCCTCCTCAGAGCCAGAAGCGAATTCAAGTTCTCACAACTAACTGCTACACCTCCTTTGCAAAAACACAATATACTATTTAAGTAAGCAATAGAAGAATGAAATCATCTCACATCAAAGCTTATCTTTAATATGCTGTATCCAAGTGAGAGAATGGAGTTCATTCTTTTCCCTTCCTTTCCAGCAAGCACCAACTGATATAATGAAATATGCAGTATCAACTGGATATAATTTCAAGTCTGCTGGAGCTAAAAGCAGATCTTGATGACTGTCCGGGGAACAAATATTCCTTTCAGCAGCACATACCCAGAGCTGATATACTCCTATATAAATAAGTATAAATATGTTTCTACTGATCTTTGCCTGTCCCCTTATCTTTCATTACTGTCTCTTTTACAGACACCTTCTTCCACAGCTGAGAAAGTATTTAACCTTTCCACTGGGTTTGGATGAAGTGTGTTCTTGTACAAAAGGTCAGCTGAAGGCAATGTACCAGTGAAACTCCAGAGCAGCTTTCAGACTACAACCAGAATGGAGTTTCAATGGCAAACAACTGTTATACCTAATCTCTGCGCAGAGAAATGCTCTAGCCCCAGTCCATAAGCGCCCACAGCTCCATTACTGACTTCATACCTATTCAGTAAATCATGATTCCAGAATATAGAAAGAGGAAAGCTGAATCTCTGTACTCACTTGGCATTCATTTCTGTAAGATGCTGATCACTCTGGCACCAATCTAATACTTGTGGATGTGTCAAATTCCATTGATTTCAACTGGAAGCCTTTCAGGATGTGTGACATCTGGTCTCACAGCAGTCTTGTGGTCAAAAATCCTGGAGATAGTGTACAGGAGTCCACCTGGTGAGCTGAAACAGGAAGTCTTTAGAGCAGACACATACTGCTAAAGAGACCCTTCCTTTCCTCTGACAGGGGTGGAAGACCCACCTACGAGAGCAAAAGGTATTCTGTTGTCAGAAAACCTCTGTGAATCCAGACTAATTCTCAGGGATTGCTGGTGGTTTTTGTGGGATCGTAGTAAGTCAAGGATACCATTGTACATCCATAGCTGGCAATAACATATCCTTTCTCTCAGGCAAACTTAATCCACATATGGAAATAGTCACGTGTTAACAATAAAGGTAAGAAAGGGTGCTATTTCCCTGCAGGAATCCTTACCATGGCAGTATTAGCATCTCCATATTCTTAAAGCCCAGCTCCAGACATATGGGTACTTTATTTTTAGATAAAATCCACCTCTGCAACAAGAGTTTGTGCTGGCCCTGCTATTTTTTCCTCATTTCACAAGGAGGGCTTAAGAGGCACAATAAGCACCAAGCAAGCCCCTCTGTCCTAAAGCAAGTATCATCTTTAAATCTTTCTAATAGATAATTTCCTCTCTGTTACAGTAATACACCAGACTCTTCCTTCTCTGATGCAGTCTGCTCCCAGAATGGATTCAGGTTGCAGCAGCAGTCCAAATAGCCAGTGGGCTCACAAAGACGTAAATCCCTACCAGTGTTAACTGAAATATGTTGTAGTTTGAGAGCCTGCTAATTGGACTAAAGCCTGAAACCTGATAATACCTTCCCTTTCAACCTACTTCATCCCAATAATCTGATCATCTGTTTTATAATAAGAGATACAGAACTCATTTTATTAACTTTGTCAACAATGAGACCTCAAAATAAAGCTGACATTCTTCTTATGAGAGACGTGAGGAAAGAAAGAAAAGCAGAATTCAGAAAACCCAACAGAGTGAAACACACTAAAATAGAAGGAGAATAAAACAAAGGACTGAGGACAAAGGAAAGAGAAACAGCAGAATCTCAGGCCTCTTTCTGCCCTGGGAGCAACAGCAGAAGAGCCTGGTGGTTTGGTCTGTGGCTCTTTCCTGAAAGTGGAGGTAGGTACATGCTGTGCCTGCTGTTTGGGCTGTGCCTGCCAGAACTGAGAGCTGAGGGTGCTGCAGAATTGCCAGCCAAGCAAACAATGTCATGAGATCTAAGCTCACCAAAGCATCTCTTGTTTCAGTGAAATTTTTTTTTAGATGATGAATGGCTTTTGAGAAAGGAGAGCTTTTCTCTTCTTTTTTCTCTTTTTGTGCTGAAAAGTCAGTTTGGAGGCACATGACCTGTCACTAACACTTTCAGAGGCATGAAAAGTTTGAAAACATGCTTAAACATGCTTTCAGTTTTTACACGTCTTTAATGAAAACCTAAAACACATGAAGAAAAATCTCACAGCAATAAAAGCATTCATGATTGTCTCCACACGGAACCTTGCACTGGAGAACTGGGGACCACAGCAACTTGGTTCCACATCCTTACAGGCCACAGACACTTATCTACTCCCAGAAGAACTAAATTTCTTATACTAAGTCACCCTTCAGCTAGAATCCCCTTGACTCTATGATCTGTGCATGCAGTGACCCACAGAAAATTACTCTCTATTTTTCACATGTAGCAGGAGGCTCTGTCTTCCAGGAACACCACCTCATAAGGAGAATTTTGCACCAATCTACAGACGGAATAACAGGATAGCAGCTGAGACACGCAAAGGCATTAGTCAAGTCATGACTGTATGTACAATGATTTAGCCTGAACAGCTGGCTAGGAGGTCATAAAAGAAACGTCTTTTTACTATGTGAGCGTTAGATGAAATGGCCCTGTTGCCAAACTTGGCTAAGAGCCGGAACAGTCACAGAGCATACATAGGATTTATGAGATTAACCTCTGGATCCCTTCCTGAGCCCAGGAAATTGCATTCCTTTGAGGTCTGGACTGATGTTCATTGATAATGCAAAATTATGCCTTCTGCAGGGAGAAGAGAAGCAAAGCAGAAGCACTGGGGAGTCAAATAGCCTTATGTGGGGATCTGCAAGGAATGAAGAAGGATAATAAACTACTCTCTTAAAAATTCTACTCTATTCTCAACCCAGAGGAAGGGAGAATTTGCACATGTAAAGGACAGGGAGCAAATGCTTCTCCATGTTCTTAAAAAGTTCTTAAAAAGCAGAAAATGAAGCAGAGAGAGAAGTCAGCTCTGGCCTGAGTATGACTAAGCTCTCTCTGCTTAGGAACTACTAGGCACCAGCACCATCCAGGACCAAAGCTTTCTTTCTGCCTCAGAAGATGAAGAGGCCATATAAGGAGGTGAAGGGGGCTGGCTTTTTCCAAGCAGTTCTTTTGGTAATGGATAGTGATTCTTAGGCTATGCAAAATGCACTTAGCAGCCAGAGACAACTTAAAAAAAAAAAAAAAAAACAAAAAGGAAAAAAAAAAAACAGAGAAGTGAATTATTATCTCTAGTCTTCCTCCCCTCTCTTTTGGGCATAGTATTCCAGATGAATCAAGGGAAACACAGACATGGCACAGCATGAGCCATATATCCTAAGGAAGCTAAATTACCAAAAGACTAACTTCACATCACATGATGTGTAAGGTAATGGTTGATAAAAGAAAGCTTTCATCTCATGCAAAAATAGATTTCAAAACTTATTGGTCTAATGCGGAATAAAAATCAAGACTTTCCTATGAACTCACCACAACCCCCCATGTACCAATAATCAACAACCTGCTGATCAGAGCACTAGTCTGGAAAGTGGGACAACCTAATCAAACACAGCCAAGGCATGAGTCTCAGCCTCCTAACGTCCATGGAGACCCTCAACTTTTAGCTGAACGGCTATTTCAAGGAGACTTTTACCACCTTTCTCTAAGAAGATAAAACAGAGTTATGCAACTAAGTGCTAATCTTTTCCCTAGTGAGAGAAAAAACGATTTTTTAAAAATACCTTTCTTACCTCAGGACTCTAGCAGTTAGAGAAAAAAAGGACCATGTTATTTTCATGTCTCATTAGTGACTGAAAAATCTAAGTGGGAGTGGCAAGAAATGAAGTAAGTAGAATTTGTTCCTTGGTTTCTACATTGACCTCGAAGTGAGAGATCTTGAGAAAATTTCTATAACCTGTCACTAGAGCTTCGGTGATGGAAAGCAGTTATTACCTCTTCATAAAAGAAATAGTTGTCAGTGTCCTGAGACAATAACTGTACTAATAATAACTGATTGCAAAACCACTTAGTTATGAAAGTATGCAAAATACAGATTTCATTGGCTTGTTTTTAAGTAGGTATTGTGTGCTGTGGTAGCCAGTGATACTGTCATTCCTTGTCTTACAGAGGCAAATGAATTCACCTTGCGGCCAAACAACTGGCATCTCATAACCATGCTTATTCTACTAATCCTGGAGCAGGCAGTGGTTACCATATGCTCATCTCTGGCACTGCACAGTGAAACTGACTGTCTGGTCGGGACCTGAGCCATCTTGCTTTCACTTGCATATGTATGTCATCTGGCAGAAGGAGATTTCTGCTGGGAACCCTACATGCTACAAAAAATGTACAAGTAATTACAAAACAGATTTTTTTAATATTCTGTTTTTCTTTCCACTCTCCATTCCTCCCCTCCTTTCCAACACACATTTATATACACTCAAAGCCACACACATGGTCTCATACTTCGTTTTATGAAAGGGAGAAATTTAAGAATTGATACTCCTTGAATGCATTTTTTTTCCTTTATTTTCTTTAGAAATGTCCAGTTTATACCTCTATTTCAGTTGATTTTTGATTTTGCCTAGCTGGGTTATGATTTTGACTTTGGATGATGCATATACTGAAATTCCACTGCATGTACTGGACTGGAGTGAAATATTTCTACATATTTTCCCTCCATAGAGTAGAAACTAGTAAAAAAACCACTTGTGAGACCGTAGCAGGCAACAGGGCTTGTAATGGATCACTTCTAAAGAGCCACCATGTTTGAGCTACACAATATTTTCTTCCACAGAGCGAAAGGAAGATAATAAAAAGTTGCTGATAAGAAGTATTGGAAATCATTTGTAAGAATGTAAGATGCAATCAGTCAGTGACTACAGGCTGAAGATGTCAATCTTTTACTCATCACAAGAACTATGAACAAACCTCTGAAGTAACTGAGATTGAGGAGGATAAGAAGTCTTACAGGAGTTGTGACAGGGATATTACAATGGCAATCAATCAAATTTTTTATGGTCACATTTTATCACAATGGCTTTCACGTTGAGTTTTGATTTAAAAGGCAAAAACCCTGTACCAGATAAAATCTAGGCATGTTTGAAATAATAACTTTCCCTTTTCTATGGGGATGCTCTTGACATGCTCCTGACAAACTAAATGCACAGATTCTTCTGCAGGATACTCTTTTGCCCTTTTCCTTCTGTTTACTTATGAGGCACTTATTTATAGGGAGACCTGGACTGCAATATCTAGTCTGATAAGAAGGACAGAAATAAGCTGGTACACAAAACGAAGCATCAATCAGAAGTTGGCCCCACATCCAGTTTTCTCAAGCATCACCTTTTTGAACTGTTCCGGCACAAGCTGACTAAAACTGCACTACAACAGGGTTTCATGCAGCTGTTAGAAATCTCTCATCACTTTGAAGCAAGGGTTGGGTTTCACTCTGTGGCAATATGCACACATATGGATGGAAGATGTGTTGTGGATGGCATATACAGCTTCACTCACTGCCACGTGCCAACTGCTTCTCCTGAGTTTCTAAATCTTCAGTGGGGAACAACAAACAGAACGACACAAAAGTAAGAACTGGTGTCTCCACAGGAGCTGCAGTTCTTTCCATAAATCAACAAACCTCTTCCACCACTTAGCTGAACCTTTGACTTCTATCTACAGTACTCACAGTGTTCACTCATTATAACCATCCTAAAGATATCTTTAAGATCCCCAAGTGCTCTACGGAATTATTTGACTGCTAGGTCCAAAAGTAGCATCTTTTCAAAACTCTACTAGTTCCTCTCAGACTGCAATCTATTTCTTTCCCCCCCACACAAAATACTTCAGTTCCAGTATGTAAGTTTTTATTCTAAAAGAGGAATATTTCCTGAACATCTGTCTTAACAGAACTGACTGGAACTGTGTCATTTGCTGCCTGGTTAAATTTATTCCTCAATTTCCATCAAAAATGATGTACAAGGCATGTGCACATTCCAGAATACAAGAGGAGATACTGCATCCCCTCCTAAGGTATTCATACATTTGGTAAAGGAAGCCACAGGTTCCTGTACCTGTTGTCTGACTGTGGATATAACACATGAGTGGTGCATATCATTTAAAAGGATAAACAACCACGTGTTTAACACCTCATGAACCAGCCTATTTCAGGCAAGTGCACTTCATGCTGGGGAAAGAGAACCTGAATATGTAATTTCTTAGAATCTCAAGAAATTGGAAAGGGCCCTCAAGGTCATCTCATCCAAACACCTGATCAAAGAAGGACTAACTTCCAAAGTTAGATCATGTTGATCTTTTGGGGTTTTTTTCCAGTCAGGTGTTCACAGACAGTGATTCCACAACCTTTTTGGGCACCTATTCTAGTGGTTAACCACTCTCACTGTGAAGAATTTTTTTCTCTGTTTCCCAATTTTCCCATGTTGCAAACTCTGAATATTATGTGTTGTTCTTGCACTGTGCATTTCCTGCTAGTGGAATAGAGCACAAGAGCACACTCAGTCTGTATAACTTTTTTAATTTGGACATTTTTTTTTCCTTCAATAGTGTCTCAGCAGGTGTCAGTGGTTTAATTAGATGAACTCTGTCTCAAGGTCTGACTGTTTTGCCTACCTGCAGATGTAAGATAACCCAAAAACTGAATGAAGTAGCTCTTACCACCCTCCTCACTAGACTAGTTGTGAGTGTCTACCAGCCACCATGGCTCTAGCATGCAAATTATTGTGTAAAAGATGATCAGGTATTCAGTAGGAATCTCCTGTGTATGTGACCTTTCTTATTTAAAGCCTTGAACACTGTCACAATAATAAATTACCAACACACACTCCTGCACAGCCTGTTTCCTGTGTTTGTTTATAAGCATGTACCCATAAGAGGATTTTAACATTGATCCTGAACTTACAGGGAAGGGTAGCATGTGATTGTGGTTTTGAATTATAATCTATCCTATAGAAAACACTCAGGAAAGCTACAAAGGCTATCAGAACAATGAAAGGCTTCAGATGGCTTTACAGCATTAGCATTTACCTACTTCATATTACAAACAGGAATATGAATATTCACCCTAAAGTTGTAGCCAGATATAGTTTGACAGATACATCACAAAGATTTTTTTTAAATTGCATCTGCATATATTGTAAGAAAGGACATCATGGAGTTATTCAGAACAACAGTCCAATTGAGAGAATAATCCCCCCCCATGAATTACCACTTACAAACTTTTATTGCAAGACAAAAAAAAGCCCTTATTGGCAAACAAGGGCCTTCCAAACATACCTTTCACTGGAAAATAACATTGTCATGCTCCATGTTCTAACAAACAGCGCACGCTCCACTGGAACATCCCCGAAGCTAAAGCAGCATCCTCTCTCTTCGGTCTATTGGCAGCAGCCCAGAGCTGCATGCTGGGGATTTAAGGGAGGGTTTACTGAGAGTTGGTGCCCACATGTAGCAATCAGGTCTCTGTCAAGTCAGAAAGATACAAAAAATAATTAATTTTTCCTCTTTTAGGCATTGCTGCTTCTGTCACAAGTTATGGGAATGCTGCATGGAAAGACCCATGACTTGGTCCTGACTCTTAAATGCTACATGATGTCTGCACAGTTCAGCAGCTCCTAAGCCATTTTCATGTCCAAAACTGAAAAAAAGATTATTTCTCTTGTGTACACCTCATCTAGAAATTCTTGCCTCCAGGAATATCAGCATCATGTATGTTGCCCTGGAAAGAAGAAAGATGCATAGATTAAGTCCCTGATGTAACTGATGGACAATATATAGCTGTTTTCAGTTTAGAAATGGATGAGGATTTCCCCTTTATACAGTCACAGTCTGCTGAGCTTTTTAAGGCTACATTCAAAGAGATCTTAACACTCATTCATGGTGTGTTATATGTAGGTAAAGAAAAACCCCTAACCCACACAAGAAGCAAATGATGTGTCTTAAGGAAAATCTCTTCCACTTTGCTCATGTGTGCTTTCTTTACTAATCACTGCATGATTACTGCATTTTCTAACCGTTCATGATCACTGCAAATGAGCAAGCCCTATTTTCTCCTTTGCAGTTGCCGAGATATCTTTTCATTTTTCGTTTTGCAGTAAAGTGCAGAATTTAGGAACAAGTAGGCAGGGGATATGTGTCAGAGCATGAACACAGGGAGGCAGCCGGAGTGCACCTTGTCTGTTGAAGCAGGACTTGATATATGACTCCTAGAAGTCTGAAATAGGACTCCATTACAAGAATAACCAAATTCATAGCAAACATCTCACAAAAATAAGACTGATTTCTCTGCTTCAGCCCAGCAGACCATCTAGCCCAACATCCTGGCTATGACAGTGACCAAAGAAGAAGTCCAATGGAGAATGCAAGAACAGGACAAGTCTGTTGTGGTAATTCTCCAGAATACTCTTCCAGACTCTTGTCTGGGACTCTGAGAGGCAGAGGTAGTGTCTTTGAATTTAGTTAATCTTGATAGATTCCTCTTACAAACTTTTGTCTGATGCTTTTCTATTGCATCTAATCAGTACCTTGTATACTTAGATGATAATCCATTGTGAAGTGGGCTTGTTTGTGTGGCATCAGTCAGCGTGGGGTTCGTTCTCATCAACAAGGACTCTCTGAAGGCCAACGGAAAACACGGCTGACATGGTTGAAGAGAACGACAAATATATTTCATCTGTTTGCAGATTTAAATCTAATATTAGCAATATTCTGTCAGTAGCACAAAGTACCAGTACAGTAGTAGATCAGTATTCATGTCGCACTCAGTGCCTGGCAGGGAACCGCTGACTGGTCAGCAGGCCAAACGCACTGAGTCCAGCTCATACAATCATTCTCAAATTCAGCACAGCATCAAGGTGTGACTTCTAGGCCGCTGCTTAATGCTTGAATTTTTAGGCTCAGCATCCAGAATTCATAAACAAATGTAGCTTAATCAGTGCATGAATTTATCAGTATAACATCAACCTAATCTGCGTAGGAGATTCTCACAAAGAATTAGATCAGATGATTGAAAGATTTTCCCCTTCATCTCACTCCAAGCCAAACTGCATCACTTCCATACACCACTATGTACAAATTGCACTGTCGCCTGTGTACTTCTCTGATGTCACACAGAGAAGTAACCTCCAAATCACAGATGTCTCCCATTTTTCAAGTTCTATCACCAGAAATTGAAAGTTGGGCTGACTGGGTTTGAACAAGAATGCTCTGCAGATACCTGTGTTCTGCTAGTGTGATGCTGATGGCTTTCCCCAGACTTCTGTTCCTGCTCAGTCACAACAGTTGGTGTATTTAGCCAGCACTTGGCTCTGTACCCAGCCTTGGCTGTTCTGTGACCTACACCTCCCTTACACACAGACATGGTCAAACTAGCTGATGGTTGCAGGTGTTACTTTTAACTAAGTGCAACCTAATCAGTGTCACCTGCCTTCCTTTTGGTAACAGCAAACTCAACTTGAACAACATGCAAACAAGAGCCACCTCCAGGCTCCCTTGGTATAATTCTAAAATACTAAACACTACACTAGACCAAAAGTTAAGCTAACAAAAAATACTTCAAGTAAACCATTAGCACACTCTGAATGACCCATCTGAATGACCTATCACTCTTCTAATCACACTTTTTGCTACTGAGGTTCCACACATGTTGCAACTTTCCAGTGTTCTTCATCACATACAAAACATGCTGAATACAATCATTAGCCAATATAAATATATTTGTTGTGGTTTGGGCCTGATCGGCAACCAACCCCCGCAGCTAATCACCCTCCCTTCCCCCTCCCCACCTGGGAATGGGGGAGGGGATTAGAGGGGTGAAGGGAGACTCGCAGGCTGAGATAAGAACAGTTTAATAATGGCAATAAAACGAAAACAATAACGATGATGGGGGGAAAACAAAAAGAAATATATAAACAGGCACTGTACAGCGTAATTGCTCCCCACCCGCTGACCAATCCCCAGCCCGTTCCCGGCCGGCGACCCCGAGATACCAAGATCCCACAATCGCAATCCTGGAAGCGATAGAGCTCCTTCCCAACCACCCCTCCTTTATATAGTGAGCATGATGTTCCGTGATATGGAATATTTCACTGGCCAGTTTGGGTCAGGTGCTGTGGCCGTGCTCCCTCCCTGCTCCCTGTGCCCTGGCGCACGGGCAGGACATGGGGAGTCGGAGAGTTCTTGAAGTCTCGGTAGCAGCTGAAACCATCAGTGTGCTATCAGCATTTTTCCCATACCAAACCCAAAGCTAAATCCAAAACACAGCACTCATCTAGTCCCTGAAAAGGAATATTAACTCTATTTCAGCCCAAACTAAGACAGTATTGCAATACGTCCCACTCTCAGTGCTAGTAGCAGAGTATCCCCCTGTAGTTTTACAGCTCTTAGACTGGCAGAGATGTTTCATTGTACCAAATCCACCAATGCAAAGTTGTCTTTCTGACTGACCTAAAGGTAAATTGCCAGCAACAAGACCAGTTTGAGGTCATTTCTCAACAGGGCAACAATATTATCTGTTCTTCAACAGTCAAAGCATCATGGTTCTTCACTGCCAGTGTTATCATATGGCCTTCTGGCTTTGGCCTTATATATTGCTGAGAGTGGTCCCCCTCCACCAGCAGAACATGCAAAGTGTTGGGGTGACCTGGAATCAGAATGGCCTAAGTCATGGCCAGTGGGACAGGAGCAAGACTGTGAAAAAGGTAGAGAAAAAAGAGAAAGCAGACATTATGGCAAGGGTACAGATGGCAATAGAAAGAACAAGATTCCTAGGAGGCATGAAAGTACAGAGTTGCCCCCGCACATTGCTGATGTAAATGGAGCCTAGGAGGTCTCAGCTTCACAGGGAGTGGGATGCTGACTGTCAGGGAAGCAGTACGTGCTGGGCTGTTCCAGCAATCGGATGTGATATTTCTTATTTACTTACGAAAAGTACAGACCACTGACCTCTTCCCCTTCCACTACAACAGCAGTGATGCTGTCAGGTATTAAAGTAGTCTTCATGCATCCAGAAGACAAGTATCTCTGATCCGAAATGATCCAAAGACAGGAGGATGGCTTGAGCCAAAGCACATTGCAGCCAATGCCAAGGCTAGAAACATTATTCCATTTTGAGTTAGTGCTTGATGTTTGAGAACATCAGACTGACACTATCCAGGGACAGTCTCCTGCGGATGGCACAGGTTTATTGATTCAAAACTGCCTCACTGAATTCACAGCATATTAAAATGATGTCAGTGCATTTGAACTTTCTCTTCTAATTGAAGACAGAGATCTAAAACACATACTCTGTTCCTGTGTAGGACATGTTCCTTGAACCATCTATTCAGCTTGTCTCTTATCTGATACTCACATTTCACAATTTTCTCTCCACTATCTAATATCTTACTCTTTCAGGACCAGATCCACTGTAAACAGGGGCAGCACACGATGAGCCACTAAGCATTCACTCCATGGTATACAGAAACAGATGATAATTTAGAATCAGCTGGATTAGTTATTACAAACATAGTTAAAAACTCTGCTAGGGTTACTCAATTACCTTGGTTTGGCATAAGGCCATGCTGACGCTGACAGGCACAGTATCGCTCACCTCTGCTTCTCCTGATAACCCCATGCATGCTCCTGCTACTCCCTTCTCTGATCCAGCTGAACGTTTTAATCTTTTGTGTTGTTTTTGGTTTTGGTTTCTTTTTTTGCACAGTATTACCTCTCAGATAGATCAGCAAGCAACAAAAAGTCATGACCGTCACTTTGAGAAGCAAGATATTCTTAGAACAGTTAAAACTATACCTTTCACTACAGTGACTAATGCAGCCATAAATTTACAGTCTAAATACAAGATGTTACATGTTCAGTGGCTTAAGTTACTGAAAAGATACAAACCTAAATTAATAGAATGTAACTCATTTAATTATTTTTCTCTAAATGTCATCTAGAGTAAGGGCCCAGGCATTTTAAGGTTTAATGTAAATTTTGCATGGACAATTTTTTAAAACTATGAAAAACAGTGAGTTTTAGCATTTCTGTTTTTTGTCCTGGACAATGACAAATGGCAGTGATATTTTACAGTAAATGCTGCACAGAGCATTAGTTCATAGGAAACATTATTCTTCCTTCTAGCCAAACTTCAACCAAAATATCACTTTCTCTGCACTAATACTACATTTGGCTCAGATTCCATTTCTTAATCATGTGTATGGAGCAATAAAAAGTGCTGAATAGTGATTTTTTTCTGAAATGGTGGGATTATAAATTTCTTAGCAAAATACAAATATAACAAAAATTTTAACCATCTTTGTTTTCTCATTAAATGTTGGTCTTATCCCACAGCTTGATAACATATGGTCTGGTAATCTCATCCAGAGCAGGGTGGGCAGCAGGTCGAGGGAGGGGATTCTCCCCCTCTGCTCTGCTCTGCTCTGGGGAGACCCCCCTGCAGTGCTGGGGCCAGCTCGGGGGCCCCCAACAGCAGAAGGACACGGAGCTGCTCGAGCGGGGCCAGAGGAGGCCACGGAGATGCTGGGGGGGCTGGAGCAGCTCCCCTGGGAGGCCGGGCTGAGAGAGTTGGGGGGGTTCAGCCTGGAGAAGAGAAGGCTCCGGGGAGCCCTTCGAGCGGCCTCCCAGGGCTTAAAGGGGGGACAGGGAAGGTGGGGAGGGAAACTGGATCAGAGGGGTGGGGATAGGATGAGGGATAATGTTTTTAAACCGGAAGAGGGAGATTTAGATTAGATATAAGGGAGAAATTCTTCCCTATGAGGGTGGTTGCCCAGAGCAGCTGTGGCTGCCCCCTCCCTGGAAGGGTTCAAGGCCAGGTTGGACGGGGCTGGGAGCCCCCTGGGCTGGGGGAAGGGGGCCCTGCCCATGGCAGGGGGGTTGGGACTGGATGATCTCTAAGATCTCTTCCAACCCAAATCATTCCACAATAATGTATTAGAGAACTGAGTAAGATTTGAATTTTTAAAAAAAAAACAAACTCCCCAATCATCTTAAGACTTCCAAATACAGACAGTAAACAGAAACAGGCAATGGAGATAGGTCATATCTAAATTACACTGCGAAACGTATATTCTCATCTTTCACTACATTCCTTCTGTCCTGTGGCTGTGAAACAACCTTACTTGCAGAAGCCATCCAGAGACACTGCTTCTCCTGGGTAAGAAGCTACTAGTGTTAGAGGAGCACATTTGCATGAAATCTTGTTCAGCACAGTCCCCAGTAAAATTCTATTGAAGCCTCAAGTACCCACGATTTCTGCAGAGGCACAGTGCCTAATCCATAGCTACTTTCCCAAAGATGTTTCACCTCTTCTGTACCTGTGATTCACTTTTCTCTAATAAAGGCATTTTGCCAATTTTCATTCTGCAGTTTCCTCCAAGTTACACTGTACACGTACTGGTACATCTAGGTCTCCAGTAAAGAACATCAAGAGCTTTCTTCCTCAGCTATACACAGCCTAACAACACATATGGCAAAGTATTCGGAAAGAACCCTGTAACATTTTTCAAGAAGCCCTGACAAGTACAGAGGACATTGCTTCATGCAGTGTCCAAATGCTTCCAAACTGTTAGGAGTCCCTGGAACTTTTCATGCAGGATTACTAAATAGATAGGACAGCAGAATGGAGCTATGTAAAGGAAATCATCTGCATTGTGACATTGTGATACAGACAGCCCACAATGAAAAGGATAAACTGTGTCCCAAGGCCCCACAGCATGCAAACAGCCTGCTTCAGGGACAATTACTTTACAATAATAAGCTATATATACTTCATATAACTTAGATCACATTCACCCAGATTACCTTGGATTCATGGGGTCTGAGCAGTAAGCTTATAGTAGAGTTTAGAGACATTTCACTCAAGGACATGCTTTTTCACACCAGTTCTCTTCCTTTTGGGGTAATCTCCTTTCTGTGTAGAGACATCACAAGCTGAACCAGAGTAAAGAAGGAAATTTTTAAGTATGCACTGGCAAATCAGCAATCTCTATTGTTGCCCAATTCCAAAATAGCTATGGGAATTATCCTGCACCAAAAAACACTGCAAGATATAATTTTCTCTTACAATAAATTTGCTTATAGCAGCATAGGGAAATTGCTTCTCAGTTTCTTAAGAGACTTGTCACAAGAATTTCTCATTCTCATAATAGATATGTAGTGCAAAGTGCTACACAAAGGGATGACTGATGTAAGCATCAAACCGTGATCTTTCAGTTCAAGATAATCCTTTGATGCTCTATTTTATCTGAAGCACTTTTCAATTACAAGGGGATTACAAGAATAGCTTTCCTCATCCAATTTTTATTAGTTTTATCAGTTGTACATGGCATAGGCTCTCTTTTGCAGCTAAAGGTTTATTATCTTTAATTAAATAACAACTTTCACATTGTTCTTGAAAAATGTCTGTACTCTGTAAGCCTGGAGAAATTATATAAAGCACTCTGACTCTACAGGCTGCAAATTAATAGAATTTTTGCTACTAACTTGGAAAAAAATGTGATCTTAGCCCCATCTGTCTAAATCACCTCTTGAGCAGAAGAAGCATTAAGTAGTCAAAGTCTACAGCAAATCACTGAAGAACATGCCCAAGAACAAGCAAAAGCATTTTACTGAAGTTAGGCCATTTGCAATTATTTGATATTAGTCTCCCTTCAGTTTCCAGTTTTTACTTCCTGAAGGTAAGTTTCAAATTTGAGTTTAATTTTAAAAGGCCAGCTGATTTAAAAATAATTCCCAGTGCAACTAGGTTGGCTGGCATATTTTCCCGTTTGTGTGTGGCACAGAGGTGCTCAGCTAAATCAGCTTTTTTGGTCTTTCTTGACAGCTGTCATCCAAGTGATAAATAAGGGGTTTTTAACTGGGTAGTTTTCATTCCAGAGCAATGAAAAAGAGGCCCTGTATACTATTATCATCGATGGAGTCACCAGTCAGCTCCCTTCATCCTCTGGCTTCAACACTGTTTTCCTTGAACCTGATTGCTGAATGTGACAATGCAACAGACTGTACAAAAGCATCACTAACCACACTGTTGATTCACTGATGGAAAGTATTTTTCCTTTTAATAGTAGTTTCCTATAGACAAAGAAAATGTCTTTCCTCAGAAGCTCACAATTTTGTAATTCAAGGTATAGATCTGTAAACTGCCCACTGAAGGCTGAGAAAGTTTGTATTCCCCTCAGAAGGGATTAAAATGGATGCAAGTTATCCCACAGGCTGGAGAACAGAGTGTACTGCATAAGCCTCACTGTGTTCAGTAAAAAGAAAAGAACAGAATTACTCATACCACAGCTTTGTGCCCTGAGTCTGAGGCAAATGTGAATGGACAAGCCAGGTTTTTTTGACTGCTTCAATAAAATAGAAAAACGAGGGAAAAGAAAACGTCCCTTATTCAGATTGAACTCCTTAAATGTGTTTGACTTCCCTTGTTGCTAAACATTGTTCTTCTGCCAGGTCCCACCCACTCACTAAACACCTGAAACAACCACAGTCCATTCAGGACGTAGACACGTAGGGAAAAAAAAAAATAATGAAGAGGTAATAGCATAAAACTTGGTGGATGACCAGTACAGGTGAGCAGGAGCGAGATCTCCCCACTCTAATTGCTTACACCTTGAGCTAAGTGGTACCCATCTCCCATTTTGAGGAATGGCTGGGGCAGGAGAATCAGAAGTGGCACACTCTGCATTAGATGCATTGCATGAGAGAATCTGCAGCCCTTTGAGGCCCAACATGCTCCTTTTCAGTAGCCATTTCTCCCTGAAGTAAGAAAACTGAGGGCATGGTTCTGCCCTCAGCAGGATCTGAGCTCCTACCGGGCTCACGTCTCAGCATGAATTGGAAATGAGGGACTACTGCTCTTTCAAAGGCAAGGTTTTGCTTCCTCAGTGAAGGCAGAGCACCCCAGCTCCTGTTGGCTTCTGTGGTCAGAATGGAAGCCTTGATTTCTCCAGTAATCAAACTCTGCTCAGTTGATGCCATTTGATATCTAGAAAATGCCAGCAAGCTGCTGTGTGCCACCACCTCACAAATGCACGAGGTAGATCACAGTCATCCTTGGCAGATTTGGACCTCAGTGAAGGGTGAGATAATGCACATTCTCCCCAGCAGGCAAGGTCAGCCCTCTCTGAGGAGTGGTATTTCCTAGCTGTCACTGATCCCACAGCTGGCAAGGCCGTAGAGACAGCCCCCTCCCCAGGGCTCCTGGGAACTCAGCAGCAGCCGTGGCTTTCTTCTTCCTCCCCAAAACGGGGACAAACTGACTTTCTGCATTCAAAAACAGATACTTAGCACACCTATATCACCCCCATCCTGAGCACTGCACAGACCTCTGCTGCAAACTCCACCACTCCTCTTACCGATGGGAGGTAAGGACTTCTCTTTGTAAGCGCTTCAGCAAGGCAAAACAGCATCTTGTGACCACAGCAGGATTGCTGCCTATGTATTTATAGGCATAAAGACAGTTGAAGGCTTCATTCAGATAATTTTAAACTGTGCATACACATATACACATTGTATTTATTGAATAGTGCAGTGGAAACTTTACCCTGATATGTAACATCCAGAGTCAGTAGGAGATACAACCAGTGTAACCTGGGTAAGATTCACCTCTGCCTTTTGAGGTACCAGAAAAAAAATGTTACCACCACACGTCAAGTCAGAAGAGTGCCTCTTCACTTAGTTGAGATCAGAACTGCTGCAATCTTTTTGCTAAGAAGTGTGAGAAAATTATATACCAAGATGAAAGGTGAATATACTGGTGTGCTGTCCCAAGAAATTGTTGTTTACATCTAGGTTAGTTAGAGATGCAATACTAAGCAATTCAACGGAAAACTCCTGTGAGTGTATTCCCTGATACCAAAGGAGATGGTTGGAGATTGAGGGCAAAGACTGCTCAGTACAAACACAATCTGCATGACAGGATGCTGTTTTTATCTCAGATGACTACAGCCCACAGGCAGATAAGATGGTGTCAATCTACAGTGCAGCTGGGGCTCTGGCAACTAAACTTCATTTAAAAAAAATAGAAAATTATTTGGGGAATTACAATAAATCACTATGCAATAGTGGGATTTAGAGGAAGGCAGGCCAGGAAACTTCCAATGAGTTTAAAAGATTCAGTGAGAGCTGAAATAGCAACCCTGGTCATCATTTTGACAGCTTCCCCTACAGCTTGCTCTTAGGGATGTCCGAGTCCATCAGGTGTTGCCAGAAAAAGGCCTGTATCCTGCGCCATGCATCTTCTTGGGCTTTGGCATGTTCCCTCCACTGCCCTCCCCAATACACAAACACCCCAAGCACTTTGTGCATTGAAGCCTGGCACAAAGGCAAGTATGGTGGCTCCAAGAGGTGCCCTGCTCCAGAATAGAAGCAAAACTCCACTTCCCGTCCATACTGCTGAAGGCGCTGAACAGCATCTTGGCAGTAGAGGTCACTTTTCCAGTTCCTGTCATCCAGTCCGGACAGGAAGAGAAACTTGGCCAAGGACCTCTCCATGGGAATGCGACAACCCCAAGTTGCTGGGTCCCTGTGATCATCTAGGACATCGGAAAAATCTACTAGGCCAGAGTCTTCACTGGTCTTCATCCTCCCCAGATCATATGGGTGGGGAGGAACAGTGAAGCCATCCCCCTGCAGGGGAATGAAAGAATTAAAACCACTTCCAGATATGCTGACAGCTGCCTTGATGCCAGGTAGAAACGTGGCCATGGAAAGGGCTAGATCAGCTCCTTTAGACAAGCCCAAAACGCCAATCCCAGTATCTTTCACCTGAAACACAGTTATGAAAACAACCATTATCAACTAATCCTCATTTCCTGGGTTGACATAACTTCTCCAGTTCTGCCTGCTCACTCCTTATCTAAATAAAACCACCCATATTTTACCCCTTCCCTCTCTCTGTTCATGTAATATCACTCCCATATCTTATCCCTTTGCTGAGCCTCCACAAGAGTAACTATGAATTCTACATCTCCTCAACACTTGTCCTCCTGTAACACTTTTTCTTTCCAATGACCTCTATAGACAAAACCTCTTTGCTCCCTGCACATCCTGGCTAGACACTTGCTCTCAGTATCTTTTACTGCTCCAGTCTTCAAACACTCTCAATCTTCTCTCCTCAGGTCCTCTTTGGAAAATGACTTTTTCATGGATTTACTTGCATTGATTTTCTTTGATGCCATTGTTTTTTGATACTCTCCTGCAGCTGACCTGTTACCTTCTGTTTTGTCTTGGAACACAAAAGGTTCATTACACCTGAGGCTGAGTATGCCCAATAACTGTTTAAATCAACTTATTTATAGTGAAGGCTCTTCATACCATATTCATTTTGTAATGTGTGTCTTATAAGACACTCTGGAAGTTTCAAAGCTCTATGAGGAACAAGACAAACAAGAGAGGCTGAATTCTGCTCTCACACTGGCTAGGTTCCTGGTGTCCCCCTGCTGACATGAACTACATTAAGTAGCATTCCATTCAAAGTTTAAATGCTACTTCGTTTCTCTTGGTCTCTTCTGGCTTAAGTGGGATCTGTTGCTATAAAGTGTCTTTCTCATCCTACATACTTGCTCAAACACAGTCCCAGTTTCTTAAAGCATGGCACGCTCTCCAGTGCTACAACCGTAAGGGACTCTGTTGTCAGTGTTTTATTACTGTCTTGTGAAACTTACTCTGAATCAACAGCCTGTAACATCTCAGAAAGAGTAGAAGTCAATGGATTTCTTTCCCTTCTAAAATTTTGAAAGATGCAAAAGTAGGGGGAAAAAAAAAATGAACATTTCCTGCTTAAGCAGTTTTGTGCTTCTAGTCTGAGAAGTGCTTTGATTTAATCTTACACAAACACTGGTTTGCACATAAGATGCTGTGCAAAACCAGCCATCCAACTACTTGCAAAATGCGAGTTGAAGCACATGCTTTTCCATCTCTCAGATCATGCTGTCTTTCAGACAATGCTGTCTCCTTCTAACATCTCAGAAACTTAGTTGCATTCAGTGACATATAGCATTCCAATTAGAAAACTGGAAAACTTTCCAATGGGAAGACCACCATAAGTTGCCTCTTACCTGCTGCTGCTTTCGCAAAAAGTTCAGAGCTTCCTCAAAATAGCTCAGTTCAAGAATGTCTGGCATAGCTGGGATATCTTCAAAGGCCATGTAAGCAACAGCCAAAGTCACAAAGCCTCTGCTAGCCAGGAGACTTGCTCTGTACTCAACAAGACCTCCTCCAGATCCATACAAATCAATAAGTCCAGGGAAGGGGCCAGGACCTGAAATGAAAGGTATGTATATACATATATATATATATATATATACTCAAGGAGAAAAGTTTCTACAGTTGTCCTTTCAGTAGCACCCCCCCAGCACACATCAGGACAGTAGATATCAGAAGGAAATCATCCTCTGAAGCTTTCAACATAGGTTGTCATTCTCAGGCACACAGTCAGTGTAAGGACACTAATTTGGATATTTCTTCTCTCTCTTAGGAATTCATTATTGTAAGTTCACATATTGGGCATCCTTCTCCCACCAGGAATTTCAGCTGATGATAGCCTAGATGTTCTCAGGCCATTGGGGATCGATGAACAAACAGTATCACTGCATGAGCTGTGCTTCCATAGGAACTGTGCTAGCAGGTTTTCCAGGAAGCTGGGCTATGAAATGTACCCACAAAGGCCAGCACTGACCTGCACTGATTCAGGCTTCAGTATGATCTGCGTAACTACGCCTGGGCTTCTCAGTTCTCTTCCTGCAGCCATAGGACTTTCCTCTCCTGATGCTGCTCTGCCCATTCTTACAGTCAGACTTCCCTTAGAAGATTTCATGTCACAGCAGCTGCAAGGGACTTTTTATTCATTACAGAGCAAGATACCCACGTTTAAGTACTGCTTAGGGAACATAAACAGTTTAGGGTTCAGAGCAGCTTTACACAGGATCCAGTCTCTGTACGGAGCTGTGGAACATGACACCTGTTTAATTAAAGACCTTGCTTTTCTCATTTGTCTATCATCTTCCTAAGTATCCTGTGCAGTCAAACTGCTCAACCAGGTAAAGACTTTCCTTAGCCAGAGAGACAGAGAGACAAGTGCAGAGCCTGCAGGAAGATCCGTGGCAGCTGCTGGAGCAGCCCAGGCTGGCTGCAGCCCGAGTCCAGTGCTCCCACCACACCCTGTCACTTCTCACTCCACAGACAGAGCTGTCACACCACACAGCTCTGACAGAGAACAGGGGCCTCTTTGTCCCATTAGCTAAACAGAAAAGATAAGAAATAAACACACCTTTCCCCAGAAATCTCACCGCAGGAGAGGTCCTGACCCTCCTCAGCTAGAACAAACAGGAGATACCTCGTTTCCTACTGCTGATGCCCTGCCTGCACCCCCCTGCTCCAGCACTTGACCCTTCTGGGCAACACTTGCTCCTCCCTGCTCTGTTGTGAGGACCCAAATAGCTGGGCCAAGCACAGGCCAAGGGAACCATTAGCTGAGGGTTTGCTCCGGGTTGCCAAGTGCATCCAGGGGCCATGTGGCACATGTGGTGTATATCACACCTGGAAAACCAGAATGGAATTAAAACTCACCAGGAGGGAGGAAGAGGGTTGCTTTCAGACGACCTTCTCTGACTGAAATCCTCTTCACCCCCTCTCCTAAAAACCACCGTTCATTGGTGCATTTTCCCAGCAAGCGGCTCATGTCCCCATGGCCCTCATACACTTCCAAATCCACGCAGAAAGGGGTCAGGACGTTCCTCTTTGCCAGGCGCTTATAGGGCGCTTTAGACTGCAGAGACCACAGCAGCCCCATCGGCTCCACTCCCAAATAGCTGCCCCCCAGCGCTGGGGAGCGGCTGAGGTCCAGCTCCCCGTCGCTCCCCGCTCTGTACCGAGCGTGGGCTTGGAAAAGCTCCCCAGTCTCGTCCACCAGGCTGGCTCGGAGGGTGACCGCCTGCTGCGGCAGGAGACCGGCCACGCAGATCTGCACGGGGTCGTCAAACAGGCACCGGGGGGAAGGCAGAACCGCCACCCGCACCGCCATCCCAGCTCTGCTGGCGGGGAGGTGACCTGCCCTTTTGTGGGGCTGCGTGGAACAGGAATGCCAGGAGCCTGTCACCTCTCAGGCTTAAAACCTCAGCCCAAAGTCCAGGAGGAGCCACTGCGACTGCTTCCTGCGGTCAACAAGCACGGGCTGCCGGGAGAGGTAGTTCAGAGCACGCCTCCACCCAGACACTCCGGCTCAGAGGTTGTACACCACCACCAGCTGCTTCCACAGACGGAAGCTGTCATTTGTTCCTGGCATGTCGTCTTACTTTTGATTAGAGAGAGAGATTAAATCCAAAAAAAAGTCACAAAAAGAGATACACAAATCGGCTTTCCCCCCGACTGTGGGAAAGTCCAGATCTGACTGCAGAACTGGCTTGGGCACTTTTGCCAGGGCACAGTGAACACAAACAAGCTGGAAAGCCTTAAGTAACATGACATCCTAACCTAGCCGTGAAACAAAGCTAGCCCTTAAGTTTTCAGCAATCTTTGGACAAGCACCACAAAGTAAGATGATGCTTTATCCTTTAACTATGTTTCTTTAAAAAAAAAAAAAAACAAAACAAAAAAAAAAAAAACAGACAAAGTAAAAGAATGATTATATTTTTCTTCATAATAATCAACCTTGTCTAAAGAGTATCTGCATTTTCCTAATTAATGCATGGATAATAAATTTCCCCCCATATCACTAATGTTTCTAAGGAACTGTTTGAAGATTTTACAATAAATACCAACTTTTGGTTTTAATAAAAAACACTACTACATTTTTGTTTGCAGTGTTCATGTATTTAATAGCCTTCTAGTCCTACCCTGTGGGTCTGGGACATGTGAGTAGTCTCATCCCATTCTGTAGAAATACAAATGGGAATTAAGGCTGAAGAAATAGGCTCCTGGTTCACTCAACCTGCCTGATCATGCACTAGGCAGCAATTAATGGCAAAGGAATGAACAAATCAATGAGCCTACAAGCTGCAGAATCACATGTCATGCCACAAGACAAGAGGTGATGTGCAGGTAAAGCAACCCTAAAATCACCACTCGGGATGTAAGAGGATGCAGCTACATTTAAATACAATGGTGGAAAGAAATAAAAACCAGCAATAAAAACACGTAGCTTAACACTGAAAACAGCCAGTACTGACTTTTGCATGTCCTCCTAGATGTCCTCCACCCATCACATCATTTGAAAAAAAAAGTAAGAAATTAGTACAGAAGTAAGCTTTTAAACTGACCTTTTATTGCAGGAGTTGTAATTTCTCACCACCAAAACACCACAGCCACTGAACTTAGTGAATTACAACCAGACAGGACTTTTGCCTTAAGCGGAAGGCAGATGTTGGACTGATGCAGCCTGATGCACAGGTGGGTGGCAGAGCAGATTCTTCCTTGTCTGCCTGGGTTGTTACAAAACCAACCTGTAGATCTGAACAGTCATGGCTTCTGGTTCAGGACTTCCAAAACCTGGACTGCCTCTCTTCCAAATTTATTTTGTTCACCGTCACTGAGGCAACATGCAAAGACTTAAAAACGCTATTATCAAACCTTCTAATTACAAGCCACAATATCTGTCCAATTGATCGGGACTCTGAAATCAAGCAAAATAGCCATGATCTGTTTGACAGATGTTGCTGAGGATAATTTAATGTTCAGTTCTTTTCACCTGAATCATGTTTGTACTCCAGTCACAGATGCTGATGGTTGTACCACATCAGAGACAGAGATCACAAGCTCGAGTCTCCCACCTCTGCTATGACACTTTCATGGCTTTTGTGAGACAATCTAGTAGTTGGTAATAGCTGTACTTAAGGTCATATTCCATGTCATACCAATAATTCACTGAGGAGAGAAGAAAAGGGAAGAACATTTCTAAGGCTAGCATGTAATGATTTACAAACGTGTTCATAGACTGCTTTACACAGTTCAGCTAGTACAGGCTTTTCCTTACTACTGACTGAACTTTGAAATGAGCAAATCTTTGACAACAGCCAAAAATAACGTAAGCAAACATTAGAGTTCTTTAACAGTGCTGCCAGTGCAACTCTGTCTTAACCCAAATCAACTCCTCTTCAGACTCTGTAGCAGGGGTTCCCTGGAGCAGAAGCTGGCAAAACGTTTAGGAACAGAAAATACATGCATCTATTTAGACCAAAAATACCAAATACACTGCAAAGTTTAATAGCTGGATAGGAACCGGTTTAAGGAACCAGATAGGAATAAAAGTTTAATATCTGGACAGGAACTTCCTTTCCTCTGAATGCGTAAAGGATGGCAAATTCACCACTACTTCGCAGTGGTCATCAATTAGACAGTGCTTTAATTCTGCATCTCAATTTAGTTTTGGTGCAGATCTCCTAGAAAAAATAAGCCAGGCAGTACAATATTGTACCAACAGTTCTTGGAGAAGGATATACTCTAGGTTCAGACATTCACTGAGCCAGACCCAGAGAATATTGATTTTTCAAGTGTATACAGATGGTAGGGCAGTTAACAGACTAAATGCCAAATAAACTCATCAACACTTCAGCTTTTCTGCTAGTCAAAGAGTGGCTGGGGGGTTGCAACTGGAAACAACTCTACTTCCAAAAAATCTTTAAGGACTGATGCAGCAGTATTGGGAAAAGACAATCAGAAATACTGCTTTATTGGTAGCTTGTCTTTTTATTACAGTATCGCAAATACTGAAAAAAAAAAGGGCTTGCAATATTTGCAGTGTTACAACAAATACTAATGCTGTGTTGTTCAAAATACTATATTTACTCTTCCTGGGCAGATAGGATTAATTCCAGGTAAAGTCATCAACAAGCCCTTCCTCAAACCTTGCAAAACTTACATGACATGACAATAATACTTTGCACCATTCCCACCCCTCTACCTCCACCAAATGAGCAATGCCTGACATTTTGGAACTCTTGTGGGGAAGGAAAAAAAGAGATAGAGACAGATGACGATAAATCCTACAAAGAAAGAAATGACAAGACTTTTGATAAGTACAGGGAAACAGTAACACAAGCATAGGCTTATTAGCAAGGTAAGAGACTGGGTCAGAGCAGATTCCAGCTCACATGACAACAGAGTACCTTCTACATTGTGTCTACATCCATGCCTAAAACTCATATACTTTCTGGTTTCCTTTTCATCCCCCAGATCCTTTTTTGCAGATGTGATGACAACACATAAAACATGCAGTTTCTTTGTGAAAGGTGACCAATTTGCTGTTAGCAGGCTAGGCAGACAAACTGCTTAGCTCCATGTCATAAACAGAAACTGGATCATGATCACTGAATTAGTTATCCTTCTCCAGACTTGACAAGTAGAAAGACTTTTTCTTCTGCTACATCCCTAGCACTTGTCAACGAGGCTATGAATTATATGCAAAAGATTGACAAGATTATTATTTCATCCCAAGGAGAGGCAGATGATCTTAAGAGACCTTTGGTCCCAGTTATGCTTTGCTGTGGGATATCCAGCCGCACACCCACCACAGTTCAAAAACATATTTGGAAATACTGTGCATTTTACCTGCTATACAGCCATGTGATTGCTGAACATGATGGAACCAGAGAGAAGGCAGGTATAACATCTCACCAGGTTTCACTGTACACTGCAAAGGTTTTGCCTGAGCATACTCTGGATACTGTTCCAGATTTGGGTTCAAGGGGTCCAGGGGGATCCAGGGCACCTAAAAGCAAAACAGTATCTATATGGTACTGACCCGGACAAAAAAATCCAGCAAGCTTCCCAAAAAACAACTGATAACAAAACTTACTAGGTTACAAAACATGTGTTTTGCCTAGCAAAACAAGCACAGGTACACAGCTTTCCACATTCAACTGGGAGTAGGTCAAGGGTGCAAAAACTTGCCTCCTTCAGTGAAACATTTCTAATTAGGTAAAAGGTGCTACATGTCAGCCATGAAATTTCAGTCTTGTGACATACTTTCAAAACACCTCCGGCCCCTTAAGTCGCTTGTTTCTCCTACATTCAGTACTTGAGTATTTTATTTGCACCATTCTTTAGAAACTCCTTTCTTCTTCTAAAGCTCTCTGGTCTTATTTTATTCACAGCAGCTAAAACCCCCCTTCCTACTGGGAAATCCCCCTTGCCTGCATTAATTTCTTCTGTGCCCTGTACAGAGTTACAAACCTCAGCACTCCACCTGACTGCACTACAGGAAAGCTTCCGTGAGATTCGATGAGCACCACTTTGGAAACAGAGAAATAGCCCCAGCATAAATTCAGCTGTAGCATTAGTCACACATTTCAGAGGCAAAAGGGGAGAGATTACATATAAAACGCTACTGAGTTTTTGTAAAGTGCCTCCAGATCTATATATTTTAATCAAATAAACATTGCTACAACTAAGAAAACATAATTTATTCCGGAGACAGTTATGTTTTATTGCACTGGGTGATACTGCTGTAGAGCAAAATCTAGCCCTGAGCAGAGGGCCAAAAATGAATGCAGAGGAGTCTATTTCAGTCTTAATGAAATCAATGCCTTTATTGTTGATTCATTTGAAAGTCCTCTATTGGATCTATTTATGTTTGGTGCAAGGGAGACAGTTTATGATATCAATGGTTTCAGGTGTGCAGTAAGAAACTTTTCTGGAAGCTGGGTATCCTTTGCAAATAGTAAAATAGAAGTGAAATATCTGGGCATTCTCTTTCCAGTAATGAAGGATTTCTAAGTATCTGTCAATATGCTCGGTTTGAGGGCTTAGAAGTGCCCAAAACTATCTTTACTGTATTGACTGTGTTTTTCATATACTTTTTACCTTATCTGCACTCTTCTCATCCACAATTTCAAATGAGCCATCTTCTGATATGTGGTAGGTTGCTGGCTGATAGAGCTCTGGAACCACAGAAAGAATTAAATGACACATCTCAGAGTAGTGCTCAGAGAAACTAATGGCAGGGCATGTCACACTTTCACCAAGTAAAAGAAAAATTAAGACAAAATCATTTTCAACTTACTGTCCTCACTGTCCTTCCCTTTGGCCATTTCAAATTTTATCCAGTTTCTTAACTTTTTATTTATTTTTTTTAAGTCAGTCTGAATACTGAGCTGCCTTCCTGTTTGGAATTCCAACCTTCTTTCTTCACAGAAATTATTCTCCTCAAAACCCATTTTACTCCTGGTCCTATTTTGTTCCAGTAACTGTCTTGTTTCCCTTTCAGAAGTCATAAATGCATCCCTGACTTACACATTGTTATATATTCTGGTATTTCTTCTTAGGTCAGTCTAACAAGATAGCACTCACAAGCATTATCAGTGACTTGTGGCAAGCTTTTCACTTCTAATTTTATCTGGCAGGGCTCATCAACTGCTTCAGATACTGCAGGTTGCTCTTCTTTCATTGCTTCACCATGTAGTTTTCTAAGCCCTCCCTTGAGAGAGTTCCCCTTCATTAACACGATGTTCAAAATGATGAAGTCATCTTTTTACTACACTCCATAAAAAGTAAGCATTATTTCTCTTCTATGCTTTAACAGTAACTTGTTTTACAAAGTATGACTCTTATGACATACATGTATTTCATACATTCACATACATATGACACCACCTCTCTGTGAAGAAAGGCTGAGACAGATGCGGTTGTTCAGCCTGGGGAAGAAGAAGGCTGTGGAAACCTTATTGTGACATTTCAATATATAAAGGGGGCTTATAAGAAAGACAGAGAAAGACTTTTTACCAAGGCCTGTAATGACAGGACAGGGGGCAACAGTTTCAAACTGAGAGAGGGTAGATTTAGACTGGATAAAGGGAAGACATTTTTTATGGTGAGGGTGGCAAGACACGGGATCAGGTTCCCCAGGGAGGTTGTAGATGCCCCATCACTGGAAGTGTTGAAGGTCAGGTTGGATGGAGCTTTGAGCAATCTGGTCTAGTGAAGGGCAGGGGGATGGACTAGATGATCGTAAAGGTCCCTTCCAACCCAAACCATTCTGTGATTCTGTGACTTCAAGGATGTAAACAAAATAAAGCCAGTATAAATAAAATATTGCAGCAGCACACATATCTAGGCAAAATTGTATTAGTGTCCTATAGCACTCTGCATTCACTTAATCTGAAGGTTTGAAAGTCAAGGAGTGGGAAAATAAAGTCTTATTTTAGGAGCCATAAAGTTAAGCTGTCCATCTTCTGGATGACACTGCAATATAACAAACCATTACTGTGCACTTAGGAAAGAAAAATAAAGAAATAGAAAACAGGCAGTGCAAAATAATGCTGCCATAATCTCTTTTTTCATTTCTCCAGTTTTCAGAGATTCACTTTGTAATTGAATATTTCATTAAATTACAACTTATTTTTCAGCTTCCTGGCTTTTTTTTTTTTATAGAGAAAAGAACAAGCAGGCAGAATCCAAACCTGTTAAACATCAAAGGTGACATGCTACAATACTGACAAGATACTTAAATAATTTAAATATCCTAAAGCTGAAGAGACTGACGTACCAACGAATCTATTACTTTACACAATATGGAAAACCTGACAATATTTTAGTCTCTCTTCCTTCCAACCTTCAGACATATTGCATAGTAAATTAAGTACCATATGGGATGAAGGGACGGTCACTCGGTGGATGCAGCAGAAAATGTTTCTCTCCAGATATCACACAGTACAAGTTCTCATAATGATCTTTATGTACTAGGATTGAGAAAAAAAAAGAGATGTGGAGAAAGAATGAAAATCAGTGTTATTTCATTCTCTATATCAGAAACTACAGTAAACTGGAAGTGTCAGCTTGTGCTTTTATTATCAGGCTGCTTGCTCCTCTTGTGGCCAGTGGGTGTGGAAAGTAACAATATCATGTTATAGCAAACGTATTCAAGGAAGCAAACCATCAGTGCCTTGCTTGACACAATGCCAGGTAGATGCACCCAGAGACACAGCAGCAAAAGGTTTCAGAAGCGCAGGAGAAAGAATGAAAAAAAGCATGTTCAAATAGAACTGCCTTGACAGAGAAAACACACAGTCCTACTGAGCCACTAACTCAAAACAAGCCCGCTTAAACCTGTGCTGAAAGCACACAGAAGACATACAGCGTCATACGATACATACAAGATGTCACAGCAGCCGCTTCCCCAAGCCAGAAATTCACAGCATCAGGCTTCTTCCCTGTATGGTTAGGGAATATAGGAATGTTGTCAACAAAAACAGAATTTGAAGTGTGATGTTTAAAAGCACTTCAAATAATTTTCTGCCAAATTCTGTCCTTCAACTTCCTGTGTAACTATGACAGGTTTTATTGCAAATAGCACTCTGAGCAACAGTAACCTCCTTCTGCACTGGAAGCCACAGTGGTGCCCATCAGACTTCAGGACACAGCATTATCCAGCCCCAAATCGACAGTTACAAGCCTTTGTTTCCACATTCTTAATCCCTAAAACTTAGTTTACAAAAAATCTGCAGCACATCTACCTACAGTCGCAAAAAGGTGAGATCACAGTAAATCATTTTTATTGACATTTTAAGGAAAGGCATGCTGTAAAACAGAGAACAGCTGAAATAGAACAGTGTTTAACTAGAAACAAACATCTGTAATTTTACCAAGGGGGGTGGGGGCTGTGTGCTGTTTTGCTCATTTGTTATGCTAGCTTTGCTAGCAACAGCATGAATCTGAGCTGAAAAATGACTCTAAATCAGAGAAAATCCACTATAAAGAAGTGATATATGGCACTGTCACCACATTGTTTCAGTTGTGATGGTCCTAATACACAACTGAGATACTGATTCTGCAGTAATACAAACCCAAAACTTAGACTAGTCTATTATTAAGTATTTTACCACTTCTGCTTTCTAAAGGGATAAAACCAAACTGAGCTGTGGCACCCAGAAACAGGACAAACATTTATCATGTACCTAGCATGATCATTTTAAAGATCCATACAAAATATTTACTGCATACAGGAGAAACAGAAGGTTTACCAAGTGCCTCACTCATCCATGGTATATCAGGCTGCACATCACAGACAAGTTCAGGGAACTCCTTGGTGAGGTTTGAACACTGCTTCTGCACATAGAATACGCTGGGAGAGGTCACTTTCTTCTCTACAATGTCCAGAAAGTCCATGAAAGGCATTTGGCGCTCCTCTGGCATGACAAAACGGTCCTGAAACACCGCATCCGCGTAACCATTTGGTGTTACTGCCACACTCACTACCTTGGGACCCACTACCTCCCTGCAAAATAAATCATAGGTTTATAGGCAGACCTGTGATTGGCCCACAGATCGGACACTGGTTACTTTAAAAAGGTTTCATGGGCAGCAAAAATAAGAAGCCTGGCTTTCCATGGATGGGTGTCTCTAGACTAGAGTTTCTACCGTCTGGTAAGGACTCTTGCTCCAATTGCTCCCTGCAGTCAAGGCAACTGTAGTATCTTTTACCTCTCAACTCTCTCCTGTCCAACAGGTGAGCTCACAACAGAGCAAACAAGGTGTACTCTGACAAACAAGTCAGTCTGTTCTTACAGAGCTGCAGCCCCACTCCAACTGGGAGGCACTGGGCAGAGCACAGCAGTCAGACTGGGTTTTGATAGCCTGAGCTTGGCTGCACACAGCCAGAACACCCACCCCTCTGACTGCATCGGAACCGGACAGGACAGTACGCTTGCCAGAAGAAATCTATACATCAGTTTTAAACACGGTGGCAAAACTGAACACTTTCATAGAGCAGCGTGGAGGAATCTGAGCTAATTTTACAGGTAAAAGCGAAGATTAACATGGGCCTTTTACTGAGGTCAACCAAAACTGACCACCAGCCCTGCTCCAAAGCTTGTTCATACCTGAGGTAAGCTGAAGTCCATTTCTTCAGAGCCGGCCAGTGGCTGATGGCATTCTGAATTATACAAGGTTTGTTCGGACTCACCCATTCTCGATAAAACTCCAGCGGGGACGGAGGCCTATCAAGATAGGGTATGGAATCTGTCCACCCCAGCTCTGTCCAGGCAAACAAGAAAACAGTTTCACTTGGCATCCTGAGAGAAGGGCTCTGCCAGCACACCTGCTGGCTTCCAACCCCACACCACCGGACCCCCACTGACGGCAAGAGGTGTCCCCCCAGCTCCAGAAATGGCTCTGTGAAAGCCCAGGGGCTGTCAGGGAGGGTTTCTGTGCCAGATTGGTGCCTCGGGCCCTTGCCCTGCCACTCTCCTGCTGTCAGCCACTGCTTGTCCCACGCCATGGGCCCACAGGAGAGCACAGACCTCACCCGGGATACAGAGATGACACCACAAGAAGATTTTTGGAAGTGCTTTGTTTTGCTATTTTATACAAAGCCCCATAACCTAAAAGGGCTGTTTTCTCAGGTTTTGGTTTCTTTTTTTTTTTTTTTTTTTTTTTTTTTCTGCAGCAGCCGTTCTGATGCTTCTATACCTGGGAAACATTTAAGCTGAAAACATGGTGCTCCGGTTGAACCCACGCAGGACGCCCTTCGCTGCGGCCCAGCCGCGCTGAGGCAACCGGAGTCCCGAGTTTTTCTTCCCGGTCCCGGCCCAGGCCGCAGCGCCCGCCGCTGCAAGCGGGTTCCCCCCACCCCACCCCACCCCTCCGCGGCCTCCCCGCTTCCCTCCGGGCGGCCAACCGCCCCCTCCGCCTCCCCCGGGCCGCCCCTTCCCCGCTGGGCCGCGGCCCCGGCGCTCACCGCGGGCCTCCCGCGGGAAGGCGGCCAGGCAGCCCCTGAGGGCCCGCAGCGCCGCCGCCGCCTCCGCCATTCCCGCGCCGCCGCCTCCCCCCCTCACACACGCCCACACCCACACCCGGGCGCTGCTCGCGAGTGGGTCGCGCAGGCTCCACGGCGGCTCGGTAACAAATGGTCACATTTTTATTGGAACAGTTTAAGACACGGAGTACAAATGAATACAGAGTTAAAAACAGCTCCCGGGGGAGACGGGGACGGGAGGGGGAGCCTCACAGTGCAAAAAAAACCCAACAAATGATCTTTATTATAGTTTTTTCAAAATAAAAAAAAAAGACATTTTAAAGGATTATTTTACCTAAAGCCAAAAGTATAAAAACACACATTTATAAATAAAGGAGAAGGGATTTTTTTTTTTTTTAAGTCTGAAGGAAAAAGGTAGTGTTGGAGAAGAGTTGCCTGCCGGGTGCACGAAAGACACGCGGAGTGGACATGGCTTTTTCCTAACGCTGCTGCTGCCCCGCGCCTTTCCCCCTCCATGCTCTACAGCAAGGTACCCAGACCAATACGGCCCCAGCCGCCCCCCAGCCCCGTGTTATTTACACACAGGGTCTGGGATCTGGGACATGCTGGTCTTACCCAGAGAAGGAAGCACCTGCTCACTCGGGGGCTTCTAGTCTTTTATTTTAATGAGGTTTTTGTCATTTAGTATCCTGGATGCTACACATCCAACCGGGGGGGGGGGGGGGGGGGGGGAAGACATCGTATACATGCATGAATTTACTGATGGTGTTTAAATACCTGTATTCCATTTTTTTCTTTATATATAATTATATACATATTCTTTCTTTTTAAAAAATTAAGTTTGTATGTTTCTACTCCCGGAAAGAAACGTCCCAATTCCTCTGAGTAGCAATGAAGTCTGCAGAAGGGGGGACTGGGGAGGGGGCTGCTGTAAGGCCTGCCCCAACCACCGCCTGGGAGGTCCCGTGGAAAGGAGCCGACAACCTGAGAGAGGAGCTGGAGGAAACGCAAACCCCCCTAACCCAGCTCCTGGGTGCTGCTGAGGGACGGGGAGGAGAAAGGTGTTACCTGCCTGCAGCAGGAAACAAAACAGAGTTTGCTGCCCTCTCAGGTTGCAGCCCTTCCTACTGCACCAGTTCAAGAGAGCCCAAGAATGAACTCAGGGTGTCCCACAGGCAAAGTAATACTATTTACAAGATGGGAAAAAAAAAAAAACAACAACCAACCAACCACCATCACCATCAACAAAAAAAAACAAAACAAACAAAAAAAAAAAAAACACACACAAAAAACCCCCAACAACTATTCTCATTTTGACCAGGAATGTTGGGTTGGAGGGGACAAAATATATATAAAGAGGATAGGTAGATCCAAATTATTTTTTCAGGCTTTATGTTAAACAAATAACTTGTCTTAATACAGGTACCTGGTTGTGCCTATGCTAACACCCACACAAACCAGTAAAGAGGGATAGACTCAAGCTTATTACCTCCTCCCACAAGCCTCTTCACTTCCCAGGCAGTTACCATTCCGTATTTCTCTACCTGGCCTGTGGTGAAACATATTCACAAGGTGCAACAAAATGTAACACATTTATGTTCTCTTTGTTCTGTAAACTAGAATTTTGAGGAGTATTTCCTACTGCCAGCAATAGGAAGTTAGCAGGGAAGAATCAGTTGGACCAGTTTCAAATAACAAGGAGCAACACCATCTCCTCACCCCTCTCAGCAACAAACTTGGGGCACCAGCATCTCCATTACTGGACTTCTACTACTCAATTTGTAACATCCAAGTCTTGGGCAAACAAGCTCACGAGTTTGCTGTTTAAGAAAAAGTAGTTGCTTAGAGGACAGCAAGCAAAGAAACAAGAGGCCCAATAAGACATATTTTAAAAAAAAAACCCAAACCCTCCCAATTTATTCCTTAATTACAGATCACCATCTCAGTCCTAAATCTACTTTCTGGAAGCCTTTCTGTATCTACCTTTCACAGGTATTGGCCAAACAGTGTCCCTCAGGCCAAGACCATGTCTACCTCTACTCTGTTTTCCTGAGTGTCCTACATATACTCTTCTAATTTATTTTAAACTACGCAACCATCCTCCAGCTGATCTACTTGCCTGACACTTCTCTTTACCATCACTCTGATCAGATTTTACCTCTGGTTTCCCGCATGCAGCCGTGACCCCAAGCAAAATCCATTCCAGGAAGCAAAACCCACTCTGATCAGCTTAAAAATCAGATTTGCTTCACATGACTTGTTTCTGCAGAGCTTTGTTTCATATCTCTATGCCAGCTTCACTGGTTGTTGCTCTTTACCTTAATGGATATTTCATTCTCACCACTGGCTCTTCTGTATCATCTCTGACCCTTTTTGTCACTACCTCCAAGTTTAAATAATAAAATGGAATAAAATTGCACAGGGAAGTAATATAAAGGACCCTCAAACCGTTATCGCCAGTACCAAAAGATACCTGGGTTGAAGGGACTGCTATTTTACCTGAGTGTCTTGTGGTCCCAGTACAGCAAGAAATTTCCTGTATGCTGGGACATATGTTCACAGTCTGAAAGTGGAGGAACTAATCACCTCAAAAGCAAGCCTGATCCACACCAACTCCATCACAGACCCAACATGACTGCCATCATACATTCCACTCGCAGCATCTCCAGCACACCTTTTCACTTGAGAAAACTGCCAGAAATTTCCTCTCTGGTTTTCAACTTGCTTTCCTTTGCAAAAGCTGCCTGTGCATGAGAAGCTGCCCATGGGACTGAGCACTCCAGCTGCTTCAGCACAGTGCAATGCTGACAGAGGACTAGAAAATTAACACTTTTAAAGTTTCAGTACAGGCCCGTGGAAGGAAAGGTTAGCAAGGACACCTGAAATGTGATTAGGCAGATTTAAATTACAGGCAGAAGTAGCTGAAAAGCTCTCAAAGTGCTCCCCATATTGCCAAGCCCTGAAGCATTCGGCAGTGGTGATCAGCCAGCAAACCTGTCAGGGGGAGATAGAGAACTGCAGATTATTCAGCCCTGGAGTTATTTGGAAGAAACAGGTCATTCTACAGCAGTCTGGCCCACCCAGTAGAAAAAAGGCTGCACTGTAGATCTCCAGTCACAGAAAGACAGAGAAGTCAACAGAGCACACTTCTGAGTGCCATGGGGATTCAAAGAGATGACAGCCAGGACAGTAAAATGAAAGAAAACTGCTTCAAGCCTGTAACCTGCGAAACCAAGTGACGCAGCGTGGCTGCCTCTGAGTGATTACCACAGATGCTAGTGGTCTCTCTCCCACTGAAAGCTTGTTGCTTGCATTAGTTTTATAAACTGGGATTATACTGCTCTGCCTTAAAATAAATACAAGGCTGACTGGAGATGAAGGGAGAAATAAAGCATTTTGTGTGTCTGTCCCTGTTGTGGAAAGGAGTGGGAATATAGGGGAAGGTGCTGAAGAATTTCATTGGTTTGAAATTATTTTTTTTTCTTAGCTTATCATTGACCAAAAAACCACCACTGGACAGTTTTAAGCCACAACACACACAAGTTAGCATAGGCTTAGAGAAGCTCCGGAGGGTGGGAAGAGTATTGCACACACGAATGCAAGAAGGGAAGATTTTCTGTTTCTCAGACCAGAAATTAATGACAAGCAAAGAGTTTGGGGACAAGGGAAATGGTAGTAATCACATCCCAAAATATCTTGTTTGATGTTCTTAAGAAACCATTTTCTGTGGGTAGCTGAAATAGCTTTATAAAAGGTAAGAGAATCCCATCTTTCCTGGGATGTAAATATTCTGTTTTCCTGGAAAAGCAAGAAGAAAACATTTTCCTATCACAGTGAAATGAACAAATTACATGGATGAGCCATTGCACTGAAGATCTCCCAAATCCAGAGTTACACTGTAACAGATGGAAACCAGCTTTTCCATGTCACTTCTCAACAAATAAATCATCATCCCAAATTTCCCAGTAATGATAACATCAAAGACAATATCCAATTCCTAATCATGAAAGGTGGCTGAGACAAACTTTCACATGTGTATCTAAATCCTGTTTTTAAAATGTCTGCAGAAAACCTAGTCTGAAGGATCAATGTAACATCAAATTCCAGATTAAAAATATCACTGCCGAATTAAATAAGTAATCTCCAAAGCATGATCCAAGGGTTGCAGAGCCTTCCCCTGGAGGTGAATGCAGATAAAATACAGTGTGGGGACTGTCTTGAAACAAGAGAAAAGCAGACAGGGTCGTCATGACAACAGTAGGACTACTCCAGGTAACAAAACTAAGGCAGGAAAAGAAAGAACAGCAAGACAAGATTCAAGCAGAAAACAGTTCATTAATTGCACAGACACTCCAGCCTGTCTCCCTGTTGGGGGTTTATAATACAGAGATTGTTTCTCGCTGGGATATGGCAAAGGGATTGACAGTTTTTGTTAAAGGACAAAGATAATGGCCACAAATGTGACGTAGAGCAACAGTCAGAAAAATAAATTAATAAATAAACCCATAAAAAGTCTGCTTCTTGAGTCTCATGAAGCCTTGGTGAGGAAGGGATTGGCTTCACTTGGACTCCTTTGTTTTTAGTCAGCAGTTCAGAATTTCTTGGATAAACTGGATTTTCCTTGTTTATTTAGGTGCCAAACATTCTGACCTCCTGGCTATGAAGAAATTTCAAGGCAATTTCTCCAAACTCCTCTTTCAAGACTTTGTCTAGAGACAAGAAGTTGAAGACCACTGGGGAAAAAAAATATTAAAATTGTGGCCAGCACATTGCTAAGAATTAGAGCAAGTCAGTTGTAGGGGCCTGAGGAAATAAATTTAAAAGGTCTCCCCACCAGCCCTAGACCAGTGCGATGATAGCATCAGTCTGAAGCTCTCTCTGTGGTCCTCCTCTTGGGATTATTCCTGTGTATTCACAAACACCTGAAAGCCACCCCTCAGAGTTTTTTGTCCATGCGTCGTTCCACAGCTTGTAGCAACAGCTCTGAGTACTGTTCCAGCAAAGCTAGTGTCTGCTCATCTCCCAAACTCTTGGGACTTGGTAGATTGGCACCACATCCCTCATTCAGTGGGCTAGTGGTATCTTGTGGCTTCGCCAGTGCCTCCTTGACTGCTGGCAGCTCTTCTTCATCCTTCAGAGAGTCCAATTCTTTCTTCATTGAGGAGAATGTTTCTGTCAGGAGGCCCGCCATTTTATCTTTGTCAGTAGAAGACTCTCTGTCATTTAACACCTGAAAATAGAGAAGGAAAAGAAAAAACAAAGAATGCATTGGGGTTTAGGTAGAGCACCATGTAAGCAGTTTCAGCCCTTTGGGGAAACAAAGCCATGAAGATTTGCAGACTATTCAAGTGTCCTTTTCTCCAACATTTGAGACTGCCGATTTAGTCACATATCAGAGCATGCATCCAATACTGCTGGTCACATAACATCCAGAGGCATTACTCCAACATGATAGAGCTGGGAAGCACATTTTTGAGTAGTCTTCCCCTTATATACTAGGCCTAAGCAGGTGCTATGTTTCCCAGCTGCAGCACAGGGCCACAGTCTCTTTTTCTTCCTGTCTGCCAGATGCGGCTGGTCACAGGAACAGAGCAAGGTCGAGAGCTAATGGAAGCGCTGAGGCCAGAGCCGCAGAGCAGCACAGGGCAGCAGCTCACTGTGGCAGTTTCACACTCATTACAGCCGACCTGACAGACCAGAGCTAAGCGAAGAAGCCAAGAGCTGTTACATTGCTCTGCGTGTGACTCCGGTCTGGCGGTGACAAAGACAGGTGAGTGGTTGCATGTTCCCCCTCACAGCTGGGTTCCCATGGTATCTCATTTACTAATCCTTTTCCCAGGCATCAAAGACAGAGAACAGATGGGGATAATAAAACTTGAAACTCCTGTGGTATTTTGTATCTCTCAAGCACTGTATAAATATTAACTAATTCCCTAATACCCCTTTGAAAAAGAGCATACTGTTACCTTCAGTTTAGGCTAAACAGACTGAAATGTGAACTGATTTGCTTAAAGAACCATAGCAAGCCATTGGAAAATCCAAAAGTGGGAAATCAGGAGTTCCTGCCTCCCCAGTTCAAACTTAAGGTGCATTCAAGTGGACAGCAGGCAGCTTGTGTCGCTGAACACCCAGTCAAGAGAGAACAACTCGAGCCAGCGAGCCCACACATCCGATGCCCGCAGGCTGCAAAGCCAGCCTGCTGCAACTGCGCTGTGTCCGAGGGCACTCACCATGCGGTAGAGATGAATGGCTTTGCGCATGCTGTCCTGGAGCTCCAGTACCACGTGCTCACACTGCTCTACACTGATGCACGATTCTGAAGGGGAGGAAAAAAATAAAAAAACAAACTAAGGCACAGACACACTCCAATATCCACCATCTCACAGTCAGGTAAGAAAACATCATGGGTTTTTTTTAATAGATACTTGAAAGACTATGTGCACACACTTCTCATTGAATTTTTAGGGCTGGTTCGAGCCACTCATTAAACTGGTAAGTTCTACATGAGCTTTCCTTCATACTACCTAGAGATGCTGCTTGTTTCAAACATTCCTATTTCTCCACTCTTTAGCCTCTCCAAAGTCAGCAATGGTTTTTCTTGGACTGCACATGTTTTGTTACAGTCAAGGATAGTCACAGATTACCCATGTCATTCTCCATTATATTTAAAGTCAAGTTTGAATGAAGGCTTCCAGTGGCAAAAGAGACTGATCGAGGAGCCTCTAATTTAGCCTCCACCTAGTCAGAAGTCTACACGCTCCCCCTCATGTATCCTTCTGTACAGGGTACAACTGAGTGCTGAGGATGAAGGATTATACTGAATTATTACAGTGTTCTCTAGTGAGGACGGAGGCCCAGAGAAGTGTCGACAAACAAACTTAATCACAACAGAATCACATTTCTGAGCAACCCAGGATATGAACTGCTGATACACCATAATTTGAAAATGAAAAATAAAAGCAAGCAGCTGAAGGACACCATCTTCTGCCTGTCCCCACCAGATATTATGTCCAAAGCATCAGAGTTGAAGGCCTGCAATGTCTTAATAAAATAAACACTTTCATGAGTTAGACATAAACCATGAACAAAGACATAGACACACACACAACCTGCTGTTATCTTCAATTTGCAAAGGCCTAGACAAAGGCGATTCAACTTCCTTTAGTTACCTAAAAACAAAACTCGGTCACATCAGCACTATTATTTCTGCAATTCTAAGAATGTCATCTTTGAACAGGCTGGAGGGAACTTTAGCTAATTTTATGAATACATCTAGATGATTTATAAACAAATACACCTACAAAAACATTTATTTATACATAAACAAACACATCTAGAAGAACAAAGGGGCATGAACAAGTCCTTCCATCTGCGTTTTTTGTTCCCAGCACAGTGGGCTTCACTGTAGTCCAAGATTCTTGCCCTTTTTTAACCTTTTTTTTTTTTTTTTTGCTGCCTCCCTCCTCCCTTCTTTTTGTTTTAAACCCAGATGCTTCTTCTCATGATTATTTCTGGATTTCTCCTCTGTTCATTCTTTTTATGCTGGTTTCTAGCTCTGTGAGCTGCCCGTCTGGAGAAAGGCCACAAACATAACATAAATACTTGAGTAATAGGCATTTTCTGCCTCTTGGGTGTGCAGAGCAGAGCTCTTCAGAAACCAGCAGAGAATATTAAACACAGCAACAGTATTAAGCACATCTACAGCATTTTAACTGTAGATGTCAAAATGCTTTAACAAAACCAATTAAGTCTCTTTATCTGCAGCTGTTATACAGGCAGGAAAACGGAAGGACGGAAAAATTAAGTGGAAACCCAAAGTCACAGTGCGAGTCGCAGAAGCAGAACAGGTCTCTGTCAACCCTACAGTTCTAATCTAAACTGCCACGCTGTGATCCACAGAAGCCACAATAAATTGTTAACAGCAATAGCTAGCTTGGATCTGAACAGCTTTTCCAGCATCTACCACTAAAAATCTGGGAAACATGGTCTGCAAGAAGCTGATGGCTGACAGCTGTCTGCTGAGAAAAAAAGAAATTGCAGATCCACTGTACTAAATCATCCTAACTCATTAAAGGGTGCTGCTACATATTCTGTCAGGGCGTGTTATGTATTGGAAGCTGCTTTGAAAAAAAAAAAAAAAAAAAATCACTGGTGCAAAAAAAATTGCTCTTTTCTGGAAACAAAGATTCCTAGCAACTGACCAAAACCCATGTGATATGTAGCTTGATTCCCAAGTCTGGAAGAGAAAACTCAGCCTAAGGAGTACAGACAACTGGTCTGCTACTTCTCTGCTGTAGAATGTGATTCCACAGCTCCAGGCTGCAACTTCTGTTGGAGGAAACCTTACCACTGGGGGGGTAGGGTCTGAAAGTTTCAGACACACTTGCTGTTCTGTAGAGCAGCTACCCTATGGTATAAGGACAGCAGGTCCCTCAGACAAAACACCACATTTCCTGTTTTACATAACAGTGCTTTAATCTTAGGGTGTTTGACCCTTTTAGAAATGCAGAAAGAAAAGTAACAGCGCATCAAAACCACGTTACCCCTCTGCAATGCTTCAGTGCAGAGGTACTGCACTTAGCCACTGCAACGAATGGTGGAGCAATCTGGCACCACAGAAAGGAACTGATCAGAGGATTACAGAGGTGCCCCTTCTCAGATATGAATAAGAACAACATCACAAAAGGGATTTAAAAACTGTGCACTGTATAGCCCTCTGAAGGTACAAGGTATCAATGCAGTGGTTAACATCCAGCTTCCTACTACACAACTAAGCTGAGTACTTCAGGGAGATGTATTTCCTTTCAGGTTGTAACACAGAAGAAAAATCTCTGGAGAAACTAAACTGTGTCTTCTCTGCCACTGGAGGCTTTCCTGCCTTGGAGGGCAGGATTTTTGCTTCAGTTTGAAGTTACCTGCTAGTTTTCATCTGACTGAAGTACTTTAAACCAGGTCCTTTAACAAGAGCTGTATTCATCAGGTAAAACAGTTTCCCACCTCATACCTTTTTCTCCAAACTGGAGATGGTTCAAAAATTAATCTGTGTTCTTTATGCTCAAACCCAAAGGCTAGGCCTGCATGTGCATTGCATACCCAGTTTGCAGACACGTTCTCAAAGCAGAGTAATAGCAGCACAGAGACATTCTCACTCTCACAGGTGGCTACTTCAAGGCACTCACCTTGGTCAAGTCTTATTTCATATGAGAAAACTGTATGCAAACCCTTCTGGACGCTGCACACCTTCACATTAATGAAGTAAAGCCTGAGCTGCCTGGCATAACTTCATGGTCACTATTATCTGTGCTTGCTAGGTTCAGCTAGCACATGTTGGCCTGCACCTTCATCTGCTGGTCAGATATGCTCCACGACTGGTGTGGGGGCTGTAACCTACACAACTCATGGGGATTCCCAGCACATCAACTTTTAGCATTGACCAGAAACAGGTTTGAGCCCCTACAGGTAATTGTATGACTGAAAACATGAGAGTGCCAGGGTCTACAAAACGTTCAGCTAAAAAGGACCTTCAGACATAAGACCCAGAGGAAATGGAAATTAAAGACTGAGAAAAAGATGTCAGGTTGAAGAAGTGTCTCACCATTGAGGGGATGGCTTATGGAACGAGACAGGTGCAGACAGGATGAGACAGGCCAGAAGCTGGACGTAAAGAAATGTGATGGAATCGTGAGGCGGTTCACAAAGACAGGAGACAGAAGGGGGAAGATAAGAGATGAGTATCCATGCACACCTGAGACCTGTGCCAAGGTAGTTATGGATGTAGGAGACCTCGGCCTGATGGGGTCTAGTGGGCAAAGTCCAGGTTGGCTGTCTAGCACACAGGCGATGCTGGTGATCCACTCCCTGCCCCTGGGCAGTGTGCCCTCAGGAGACCTTAGGTGCCGGCCCTCTGACAACTCCCTCAGTTTTGAATTAGTGACCCCTGGCTCATCCTGGCAACCTGTCTTGGAGACTGGACTCTCCACTGGGCTCTCCTTAGCAAGTCTTGTTGGGATCTCTCTGCCAGGAACCAGAGGCCCAGCACTTTGATTCTCCCTCTTGGAGGCTCGGACCTCAGGAAGAGAGGGTTTCTTTTTACAGGCCCCAGCAGGTGACTGCGGAGACTGTGGCTCAAGCAGGGTTTTTGTTTTGGTAGTGGGTGAGAAGGAGGCCAGCGTGGGCCTATCAGGCAATGGCTTGGGAATGTCAAGAATCAGATGTGCTCGGTTTGATGATGCCAACTTGCTGTGGAAGGACTTGGGAGATGAGCAGTTTACAACTGGCTGAAGTGCTGGCTTCACTGGAACATTTTCTTTCACTGGTAGCTTAATCTTCTCAGCATCTGCTGTGGAACTAAACAGTGTCTTCTCTGCCACTGGAGGGCTAGTCCTCCCATCAGTCAACATTTCGGTGGAGTAACCAAGGTACAGGTTTTCCCCTACAGATACACTCCTCGACATCTTAGCCCGGAAGCTGGTTGTGGGGTTCATGTAGGACTTTGGTTTTGCAGCCCTGACATCTTTGGCCAGCAGAGCACCAGATCCATCCATCTTCAACATACTGGCTGATAACACCCTGCAATTGTTAGGTCTGGGATCCTTCTCAACCACCAAAAGAGTCTGAGGATGCTGCTTGGCAGAGGATATCACTCCAGGACCCTTATCTGTGAAAATTAAACAGACAAACATACCAAAAATAGACAAGAGCCTGCAGTGAATTCCAAAATTGGAAAGTAACAGAGCTGCTCCAGCCTATGTGCCTCAGCTCAGCCCCTGGGAGAGGTGTACAGAATCACTACTTCAGGTTAGTATCACCAAGCCTCAGCAGCTTGCTTTTTTGCCCATCCCTCATCCTGCTCACACACTGCTGCTTACCTGATGAGATACTTGTTCTTAAAGTGTATGGCCAGAAGGCCTCAGACCACTGTGACCATTAACTGAGAGGCCAGAGGGAGCAGGCAAAAACTTATACATGATGTCGCGGTGATGAGGTTTATTTCTTTTAAAACAAACCAAGTGCTTATTGATGGTTCAGGAGTTGATTGTTTCAAAAATGGAGTTCTTTCACACAGAGGGCATGGACACAGTAAGCTCCCTGTTACTGTCCCCTCCTTCCCTTTTTCTCTCCTACCCACCCGGGGGAGCTTCAGTCTTGGCCTGGAGCAACCACCCATAGCAACAGATAATTTATTTGCAAATAGTTCATTTCACCCTTGGCATTGCTCCTCCCACAGCTGCCAAACAAATCTCAGAGACTGACAATTAGGAGACCAGCATCTGCATTACAAATTAAAAATATTTTCCCTTGACAGGCTAAGAATTAGAAGACATACAAAGCCTGTAGCTCGGAACGCAGAAAGACATAAGCTTAATTTAAATCTCTACTCAAGCTCAAATCTCCCCTTTTCACTCTTGGGTTTATACCATCATTCCAACCTGTGTCCTTACCCTCATGAACGAGGTCGTGAACTGACTGCGCCTTTCTCATCACTGCATTCACAGGGCCTTCTGGAAAAGACGCAATAACCCGTCCAGGAGCCATACCAACTCTGCTGGCCTCCAAAGATGATCTGTGTTTTTTGTGGACATAAACAGCCCGATTTGAATTTACACTCTCCAAGAGCTGGCTGTTCTCCAGTGCATCACCAGGATGGCTGCTGCCATCATTTTTCAACAGGTTTGGTGTAAACCGATTGGTCTGGGTTGGCAGCTCGATGGGCTTTGAATCCAGTATCAGATTTGACGAAGAGAGTGACAATCGTCTAGAGAACATGATAAAGAAATCCCAGTTAAAACAAATAAGTATGTTGCCCTGGACAAACAGGCACACACCTTAAGTCAGTTTTTCTGGGATAAAAAGCCCTTCCCTATCTGTTTTTTTTCAAGTCAAAAATGCCACAGGCTGTTGCCACTTGATTCTACTCATCCCTGGGACCTTCAGCTGCACAGTCACAAATAACATTGGGTCACTGTTTCCAGGGAAGACGCTGTAAAAGGTGAAGGCAAAAGAGAAGGAAAAATTCCAGGCAGAGGGAAGACTGGGCAAAGTCAAGTCAGGTCTCTTCTCTCAGCTCATTACTAACACTGAAATCTTTTCAATTCCAATATATCCTAAGAGAAAATAAATATATTTTCCTAACATTATGAAAGTGTAATTACTAGGAAACCTGGTCAGTATCTTCAAGAGCAAAGCCTAATTTCCTCTTCCTCTCTACTCTGGACAAGCACAGTGGGCTTACTTCAGAAAGGAGGCAACTTCTGCCAACATCCGGCATGCTTAAAGAGCTGAACTGATTAAAAGCCCAGAGGTTTTCATAACCTAAAACTACCTCTCTTGTTACATCTCTAGAGCACCAGGAACTTCCTTCACTCACCACTGTAACTCTCCAGAAGCTTACACAATAGCTAACCACTGGCTTTCTTCCAAAACATACAGTCCCAATGCAAGACACACTAAGAGGCACTCCTGACAGCAGAAACAGCAGCTGAACACAGCAATGACAAAAAAAAATTCCCTAACATGGTGAATCTAGACACAGCTGGTGAACCATAGATGCACCCAAATCTGCTCAGTCCTGTACAATTAAATTAATATCAGCTGAGATTTCAGGTTGTCATTTTGGAGGCATACAGGAGTATTTGATTGTTTTAAACACTTATGAACCCAAATCAACAAAAGTTTTTACCCCCCCCTCTTTTTTTTTTTTTTTTTTGTCTCTTTCTTTGTTTTGTTGGGATTTTTTTAAAACAACAAGGGAAACAGCTTGGAGAGGCCTTTTGGGGTGCTTCAGGGTTGAGGTTTTTTTGGAAGAGTAATTTCCCTGTTGGGCTTTGTATGAGACACCAGAGCACCCTGTGAAGCCATGGGGCTGAGAAACAAAGCTGTGTAAGAAAGGACTGTAAAACAAAGAAAAAGTTGACAAGCCTACTTTCATTGTCCAAGCTGAATGAAATGCAAAAGAATAAACAGAGCATAAACAGTGAAGAGTAAATTAGATGCTTAACGACTCCTCAGTCAAGGCATTAATCATGAAACAATTAAGCACGTTGCTGAAAGAAGAAAAAGAACAAAACAACAGTGTTGCTTTAGGAAGAAATAGAACAGCTAAAGTGACACAGGATGGCCTGTCCAAATCACAAGGGTCTGCAAGCAGCAGCCTGCCAGGTGCTGTGCTAACACTTTGCTGTGCCTAGGCACACCAAGGCCAGAAGTTTGCTTAACTATTTTGGCCCAGGGCCTGGCACAAGACCTACTCACACTAGTAAAAACAGACCGACAGAAACACTCAAAACAAGCAGAGCCATACCTGAGAGCCGGGGACTGGGAAAGAAAGCGAGAGGAAATGCTGAGGTTTTCAGTTCTTTCCAGATTCCTACATGAGCCACCTAAAAATTTTGGTTAAAGGGGAGAGAAAAAGGGAGCAGTTTAGTTACAGAACAAACATTCTGACACATGCATTTTCTTATCACAGAGATTATCAAATGTTCCCGCATATCCAAGGGGATTTTCTTAGCTACACCCACTCAGAATGAAATAATTTCATTGCTTTTGCCTTTTCTGTTCTACTTAGATTAGTCTGCTTTAAACTGCTACTCTCCCTAAGGGTATGCCTCCTCCTTTTTCTCTTCCCTTTGTGTCCTATCCTGCCTGTAGGACTGAGGCACTGGCATCAAAAAGAAAACAAACCAATCAAAGGAGAAAAAAAAAAAATAGAAGACAACTCACATAGATATTGCTGCCTGCAATCATTATCAATTCTAAAAAGATACGCTTTGTTCTGGAGTTGGTGGATAAAGATTAACCAGCTCCTTTGCCACTCTGATGTCTTCTCTTATTCTCTCCCTCCACCCAGCATTTCAGCCTTTTCTTTTGTGGCATTTGTTATGCCTTAATATACCACTAGAGGCCACTACATGTTACCTATGGGGGGTGGAGGGGGGTGAACACACAGCTAATAACTTCATGTACAACAGGGAAAACTAGTCCGGGAACAAGAGAATGGGCTCTTCAGTATTCCAGGGAAAATACTTAGCCCAAACTGACACAGACCCCGATCTCATCCACACAAACTTACACAGAGACCAATGGAGTTAACAGGTGTCATTCTTCTTCAGGCCTCTCTACATTGCTTCCCATTTTTGCCCCCTCGTACTCACACACCCACGAAAGCCTAGCAGAACCTATAGCCTGGCTTGATTTATACAGGGGATAAATCTGGAGTGACTGTACAAAGTGCCCCCATGAGCAGAGAGCTGTACCTTTTCCATCAGCGCTGCCCAGGGTCCCAAAATGCTGCTTGAGGAACTCTTCCTGATCTGGTGGCTGGGGTATTTCTCCCTCTGGCATGCTAGTACCCACGTCCTCCTCTCCTTCCTCTCCCTCCAGATCTGAGATGCCATCCACACTTAAGGGCTCGGTGCTTTCAGAATCTGGGAAGAGGCAAAAAATCCTAGTGCTCTAATCGCATAATCACAGTAACAATAGCCAGGTTGAAAAAAAAAAAAATATTCAGCAAAGACGGTAAACTGAGCCTAGAGCTTTAAAGCAAGCGTCGGTCAGCATTAAGTGTAATTCTCTAAATACCATATCCCACAAACAGCATGGCCTATAGGATAGTCAATACTGAACCTGCCTCCTTACCTAGGAAGGTAAAATAAAGCCAAAGGTGCACAAGGAAAGTGCACTTTAACCAACTCCTGCTTCTACAGTGGCTTCACTAAAGTGCCTGTTCAAATGCACCTGAACCTTTACAGCAACACTAGTGAGATTAATAGGAGCGTGACCTCGGTGCAGCTCATGAAGAAGATCAAGTGTTAGAGATCAGGATAGCAACCAACAAACACAGCACAGAACCACCCCAGCAAGTTTCTGCAGCGTTACACAGCACATATAAATCCATTTATATTGTCTTTGTATCTTACCTTCATTCGGATGGTCTGGGCTGGACAGACGACTGCTGCTGTAATCTACAGAGCAGGCGCTGTCCGGACTGTGTTTGTCTGGGCATCCATTACTGTGATAGCCTCTACTTAGCTTCCCACGGGGCAATGCTTTTACCTGGAACTCACTACAAGAGAGACAGGAAAGATACAGCACTAGAAGAGATATTTGTTTCACATGTAAAGAAGCACGCTCTAACTTTAATAAGGCCTTACCTGTGTTAGTAACACCTTTGATTACAAAAGTAAGGCTTTAAAGAGAAAAAGAAGTTGATTTCTCTCATCATTATACAGTATATTTTTTGCATTTCATTAAGCTTGGACAGTGAAGTCTCAAGGGGACTGTCTGATTTTCTGGGCTTTGTCTGTTTCCCATGATTACCATGCACCAGCACAGCACTTCCCTGGCTTGATTTCCAGCACAGGTGAGGAACAAATGTAGAGGTCTACAAAATGAAAAAGGGACTAAAACCAGGCCTATACCTGCATGATAGACACTCCAATTTGCCTTAGATTTGAGCCCTAATATACTACTTTTTCCATGTTTATGAACTCCTGCTTTGGGCAACTTCTGTGTTGCAAAATAGAGAAGATTCTGGATTTGAGCAAGACTAATTTACTGAAGAATGTCATACAACTTTGTAGGACAGGGTTCCTGATTTCTGCTGTAATTTCACAAGTCTGCTTTTGTCAAACGGCACCAGCACCATTCTTTTGCCTTATGCCTGAGGACTTAGGTTTTCCACTTTATGAAATACTTCGGTTTCAGATGTACTTCAATGAAAGGCAGGATGCAGAAATCACTCAACAGAACTGAATGGCAATTACCCCTGGCAGCTTGCAAACTGGATACTTTGAGATGTGTCCAGTCTGTATCCAACATCACTAGAGGGCCTCCCATTCTTACATAATGGAACAGCACATGTCCAAATGTTATCACAATAAAATTAAAAATGTAAAAAAAAAGAGAAACTAGGAGAAACCTAGCAGCTCCAACTGCAAAATCTTGGCATGCACTCTTGCATAAAAGCCTGTCTAAAGCTATCAGCCCACTCTTTGTGACAGAGCAGGAGGAGACAGACGAAATTAAAGTTATTAGCATCAGATTAAGAGAAGAATGGAAGAAAAAAATTCAGGGAAGGAAAAAAAAAATGGAGCAGAGAGTGAAACAGAAAATTAAGTGAGGTGAAACTAAAGCAAAAGAAATAGCAGAAGAAGAAAAAAGGTCTCCACTGTTTCCAGTGTCCTCTTCAATTCCATCCATCTCATGCACACCATTCTATTTCCCACAAAAGGGTCATCACATAGTACATTTGTTGAATTCTTGCTTAATTAGGCTTGAAATTGTCATAAATAATAGTGTCCTGTCATTTCTCCTGGGCAGACATTTCATTGCCACGTATACGTCACTGTTGGGTGGTTTTTCAGCTTCCCAGTTTTCCCTTGCTTACTTATTTCAAACCAGATAAGGGAGAAAGCAAAAAGGCTGCTCCCAAGTCGTTTATTCAAAAAAAAACAAAAACCAAAAAACAAAACAACTTGGAGGAGGCTGCTAATGCACAGTTTCCACAGAGGAAAGATTATTTTAAAGGTGCCTTCTTAGTTTCAGATTCCTTTAGCATCAGGCTGGCATAAAACTCTCAACTAAACATGCCTGGCATCAATCAGGCAGTAAGTCAACTCATCCAAGTTATGACACAAGCTGCAAGCAAACTGTAATAGAAACATCTATGCCATGCACAGCAGAGAGCTTATTTTTAACCTGCTAGGGTCTGTGGGGTGGATTTCATCTTGCTCAGGGTAGATTACACACTCCTCACTCTCAGAAGGTTCCAGTTCCTGAGAGAAAATCCCCTCTTCACAAGACACAAGCCGAATCACTTGGGGTCGCACACAAGACCGGTTATCTTGGGGAGGTACTGAGCTTCCAACCTGGTTTAAAAAGAGAGAAACCTAGATATTACCAGTGTTTTTTCTTAAGTCAGCAAGTGCTGTGCAGAGCTAGAAAGTATGCATTACAGCACAGAATATGATCAGAAATCTGAAATCAGAAAACACAGCACTCCTGTGTCTTTACTGTTCCTTATTTACTAAACTTGACAGACTACTGCTGTGGTTTCCTGGGCAGCTTCCTGCTTGCAATCCCCTAAAATTCTCTGGTAAAGTACTGGACTCCCAATCCCTCTCTGACCACACATCAGGAGTGTAAGCCGTGTGGCAGCAGCTTCTTCCATTACCTTTTATAGGCTGATCAGACATAGTTCAGAGAAGTCTGTGGGCCACAGCTGAAAAACACTGATTTACTGCACGCAACAAGCCCAATCCTCTTCTCAGTCACGCAGTTACAAAGGAAGGAAAGACTCTAATGAAGTTAGGCATCAGGACAGACTGCTACTGGAAAACATGCATTAGCTTTCTGAGATATGAGCATGCATTACTTGCTGTGACCCACTGATATAAAGATTAAGAGAACTTTATAATCTAGCACAGCCCACAACTAAAGGTATCATATGAGCCACATTTCAGTGGCCACTGGAGTCAAGAAACTGCACCCCAGCAGCGTGAGCTAACAGGTAACGGGGTACAAAGCTGTAATTCCAAGCTCAGCTTCTCAGCTTATTTTTGCCATAAATAATTGAAGAGCTAAAAGGAAACATGAGGTCTTCCCTGTCATTGGAAAGAAACCTTGATCCCATATGGCTTCTGATATAAAATGGCAGTCACACACTGCAGGAGTACTAACTACAATAGAATTATCTAAACAAGTTTCTCAGGGGACATTTAGAGCCACCTCTAAAGGTATAAAGAACGGCATCAAGTAGTAATAAATGTAGGTAATAATAAAGAGAGGCAGCACAGATGCACCCAGAGTAGATTCACCTCCACAGAGTAGTACTGCCCTTACTTTGTTGATGTGCACAGGAAGATCTGCCTGCTCTTCTCTGTCATCCCCATTGCTGTTTTGAGACAGTGAGTCTCGACTCGGAGAACGGGAAACGGAGAAAGACTCCAACTGACGCAAATCAAGCATGGATTTCACAGTCATCTCTATGTTGCTGGTTGGCTGGGACCAGCGCCCACGCTGCCGGGGCATCTTGCTCATTGGTGCCTCTGAGCGCTGGATTGCTGCTATCTCTTTGGCCTGAAGGAAATGGAAAGAAAGACATTCTTAGGGACTGAGTTCTGCTGATGGCAAAACAGGAGAGAGAACACAAGACCCACAGAAAAACACAATTATGTCCATCTCCATAAAAGCCCCAAAGCTGTCTGTGAGACAGCTTAAAATTTCTCCCTTAATCATAAAGCATCAAGTAAAGATGATACTTCCATTGCTGCTTCTTGCATAACTGAACATTTAAATGCCTCGTTGAATCCAAATATATGGTCAGCTTCAGAACTACATTTAGGCCAGATATGAAGGGAAAAAGCATAGCATCTGATGGAAGGATGCTGATATAAAAATCCCAAGTGAAACTGTTTTTTAAACTAGGCTTTATTTTGCTATCCCCAAGTCGTTCTTCAGAGAGGCTCTTCTCAATGGTTTCCCACCAGTGTGAATTCAGTTTTTAATCTCCATGGGAATTTCTTTTCCAGTTTCTCTATGACAAGAAATACAATTTGAAGGTTTAGCAACTCACCCTTCTCATTTCCCAATGGGAAAGGCTTCTCGAGAGGGTGATGTCTGGATCTGGAAAGGGAAAAAGATATGTACCTAGTTGACATCCTTGGCCAGCAGTCCAGCTTTTTAAAGACCTCTTACCCCATCTTTCCTCAAAGGCAGCATTCCTACATCTTTTGAATCATCTGACCGCTGCCAACACATGTTTTCCCATAGACTACTGAATCACTGTATCAAAATTTTAATGGAGATGTACTGTTTTATATAAGATTTTCACTGACTCAGCAGACCCACTGCAGAACACTTGCCACAGTGCAGAGTGTGTAGACTTCTAATACCTTGTAGACCCAAGCCCAGGACACTAATTCAAAATTTGTTTGGCCAGTTGGAACTAGCAAGAAAGTTGGCAATTTAGCAACTGATTCTAATCGTAGAACTCTGAAATGTGCCCCACTCTTCAGGTGCAGGAATGGGTAACCCACATTATCCATTGGTGTTGATCTATCTATTTCTGTCTTGGTCTTTCTCTTTCAGCCCATGTCTTGTTACCCCTAGCCAGTGCCTCTCGTCTTCTCCCCACTTCACATTCATGCCATTTATACCTGAGTCTCTCTCAGTGTTGCAGTTGGACTGAATATGGAAAGACTGCAGCCCGCGTAACTCATCTTCATCATTCCCTTCATCTTCACCATCCTTGTCACTGTCTGATGAGAGTGCAGGCACAGAGGACAGGGCAGAGATGGACTCGTGCCTGGGAGGCAGGAATTGGAAGGAATATTATGGTCTATCTCAAGAACTGCCCACTATTTCAATCCTTAGACCAGGCAGTTATCCACCTCGTCTCCATCCACACTTGGCAGGCTGCCTCAACTCGCCCACACAGCCCCCACTCTAACAAAACCCATCTCTGAGAAACAGGGCAAGTTAAACCCTGCACAAAAGTGTGCAGAGACTGCCACAGCAATCGTCTCATATGTGTGGAAGGATGGCAGAAATCAGAACAGAAGCAAATGAGTCTGAGAAAGTCAAGTAGAATGAAACTTCATCTTCAATTTCAGACCCCATCAACTGAAAAGGTCAAGATGGTAGAGCATATCTGAAAGGCAAATATTTTTCCAACCCTTAAGCATTTCTTCCCTGGAACTGTTTTACACACAAAAAATGTTTAACAGATACTCCCTGTTTGAGAGCAATTTGATATATGGCAAATTACCACATAAGAGACAGGTTTGTATCAAGGATTGCACCACGCAGAACCAGAAGGCACAGCCCACACACCATAAGAGCACCGTGCTGCCTTTTTAGCCTTCAGGCACAAGGAATAATATAAAACATATTTGGGGCAGATCTTTAATCAAAGTAGATCGGAAAAGTGTTCCCACATAGACCTCAGAGGCACTCCCAGCATAGAATTCCCCAATACCAATCAAGGACACTTACCAACACCAAACTCTATCCTCCCTTTTTCTTTTCCTCTTCCCCTTCCTCCCCTCACCCCTTCAGTCAACAGAACCAAAAGAACTAACCCACTTTGGACAATAATTGAACAAATGAAGAATCCCTAACAAAAAAATCTGAGTAGCACCCACTCTGTGGCCCTGAGCTAGAGTTCCAAACTCATCATTAGTGACATTTGTAAGATATCACTGGTGGGTGTTGAGTGCCGAGCATTATTCATGAAATAAAAATAGCTCATCCACCAAATACAGAGCAGCCTGGAGAGGGACCGACTTTGCCTGCAGCTGACAGAGATCAGGCAGTATTGAAACATGATAAGTGGTTAAGGTAGCTTTATCTTTTCTCGTTCCATATAGCAGCAGAACATTAATTTCTTTTTTATTAGGAGTAGATGAGCAAGAACTACCCAACCCTTTCAGATGAACTTTGAGGTATTCTGACAAAAAGAAACATGAAACTAATTGTAGTCTGCAGAGGCCTCCAGTGAAACAGTTTCATGTTGGCTGTCTTCATCTACTTTTGACATTTGAGTTTGTCGGTCTCTTCATCTTTTCTAATGTCTCCTTGTGTGTCCATCTTGTCAATCTCAGCCTCGTATGTCTAAGCAGGGGAGCCCACACAAAATTCAAGCACCACAGTCCATTTGAGGTTATACCATGTTTCATTCTGTGAGGTATATTACATTTATACATGGTAGGCAATATTAACTTGGATAGCATCCTTCTGCTTCTATTCATCACGGGTGTTTGAGGAGTTTATTGAGGAAGAAGGGTTGGATTATTAGATATTTTAACATCTAACTGGTTGAGTATCTCACTATGATGAGGTGATTTGGCAAGGCAAAGTTATGTGTTTGCTAAACGCCTGCATGTACTGTCATTGGTGTAAATGGAGAAGTGAAGATTGCTATCAATGTGGTTTATGCTACAAATAGAAAGACAGCCTCTGTCCATCAGATGGTGACTGACAAAATTAGTAAGGGGAAAAAAGTATGTTCTGATATCCTCAAAGGAGCTGAGTAAGAGAATCCAAACATATTTTGGAAGTCAGATAGGCATTTTTTCATACCTCACAGGAAGTGCCAAACAAATTATGAAGTCACATGTGCTTGATACAAATGTAAGGTTAAGTTGCATTATCCCAGCAAAAATTCATGCCCCGCTTCCACATCTTCCTTTTTACAACTCAAATATGCTTTTCAAACTCAGTCCTGTGACTTAAAGGGAGATAACTGAATGGGATTTTCAAAAGGATCATTCTGACTTGAAACTGAGATACTCCTGAAAATGAAACCTAGGTTCACAAGCTCTTGAGAGTTTTAACTGTTGTGCTTGTCCAAGTCAGTCTCTCAATTCAGACTTTATTATTTTCTCCTTTCTTGCCTTGCCTTCTTCTATGTACTTTGGATTTTATTCTAAGCCCCTCTGTTGCACACATCTCCTCAAAACTCCTCCTCAGTTCTTGTTCATGCTTAGATGGAAGTCAGAGTGATGTAAGGTGGGGTTTCAAGCACAGAAGCTGCTTCCAAATAAGCATCACATGAGAGCATTTTGAAAGCAAAGGAGTAAGACTTCTGGGTTTTGTTGAATTTCTGCTGAGAGTGGGTTCAGCCAAACCCCAACAAAGCATCATCATACCAGAATAAATGTTTCAGAGTAGCTATCCCAGAATAGCATCTACAGACACATCCAATTCTCATGATACATGTGACTCACTTAGAGCAAGGATTTTAATTGTCCTTGCTCTTGTCTTCTTCCTTTGCTGAGGAATTACCCCATTGCCTGGATCTTGTTCTGTACACATGTGCAGAGTCAGTTGCACTTCAGTTCCTAGCTTCTGAAGGGTCTGCCCGTATGGGGTCAATGGCAGGGAAGGACCTTCAGTTAGAAAGTCTTCACGACACATGTATAGACTTAAAAGTGCCAGATGCCTTTATGGAGTTCTAGTCTTAAAACATCTGATATTAGGTATGCTGTATTCTTTTGCATGTCCTGAATTCAACCCTTCTTTCTTTTCTTAAAACAAAGCAAACAGACAGGAATGGCAACTATCCATTTAAAGAGGCACGTTGTCAGCATTCCCACTCTGATCTTGTGCTACTTAAACCCTCAGCTTTAGGGGCATATTTATGAAACATCCTATGTGCTAGGGATCACTGGCAGATGGCATCCACCCTGCCCAAATGCCTAAGGGTTTTAAAAATAAAGTTACCTTGCTTTTCCCCACCAAAAGATCACAGTGGTGCTGACTTCAGAATTTCCCTGGTGTAACTGCAGTAGTTCAGGAAAGACTCAGGCACCACTTCTGATCTGGCATCAAAAGCCTGCCCCATCCTGAGCCCTAGAGACCACACAGCTTTCCTGGACTGGACCAAAGCCTCAATGAGAATGTGATAAGGAACGCTTCTTTCCAAATATATCTGAAGGCACACAGTGCTTCTTCAGCATACATATATAAGTTTTAGACAATTTGATTTGGATAACATTTCTATCTCCTGCTATTTATACTAGAGCTTCAATGAAAGTCACAGAGAAAGTGACTTTTAAAATTAAAATAAAAAAAAATTCTCAGCTAAAACATGACTATAAGCCCTGCAAATTCCACAGTAAAATCAGTTTAAAACTTCCCTTCCAAAAATTTCACACAAGCTTTTCTGAACAATAAAATGCATACTTGGATCAAAACCAAAACCCTATTAAAAGGCCTTTACATGGTTCCTTCTCTGAAAACACAAATGCCTCAAAACCAAAATGTACCAGCAATATCAGCTGACTACAAGTTCTATTATTCCGAACAATCAAAGCTCCTCATGTTCAGCAGATGAGAGAGAGGCACACATCTGCAATTATCACAGCCAGAGGCAGAACTGAAAGGCTCTCAGGGGCACTATGGAGAACTATGGGTCATACAGGTCAGATTAGTTCCTAAATAATCCAGTGTCCCATAGAGGCGAGTCAGAGAAATCCTTCAGAGGAGAAACTTTAGTCTTTCTAAAAGTTTTTGGAAGGACTGAAAAGTCTGGGACTCTTCACTTTGGAGAGGTTGGATGGAGAGAGGTTATGATAAAGGTTTAAAAAACCATGGGGACTACAAATAGCTGGATGCAGAACGATAGTTCATCAAAGCTCACAGTATTCAGAAGCAGGGAGCTTTCAATGAACCTAGCAGGTCTGTGCTTTAACAGAGACAAAAAAAGTCCTTCTTTCCACAGAAAGCAGTGAACTCCGGGAACTTGTCACCAAAGGAGGTTGCAGAGGCAGACACTATTACAAAGTTCATAAAGGATTTATACAAATTCAGTGGACAATGGGTCCATGACTAAAGACTAAAGGAAACAGGTACCTCCTAACATCTCTGATATAACAACTGAGCATGAGGCGAACGGACCACAAAGGTTCATATAGCAGAGCTCACACGGTGTCTCACTTAACAGTATCTTACATTGCCACTGTCACAGGCAGAACACTGGGGTTCACGGAGCACTGGTTTGACCCAGAAAGGCATCTTCTCTATGTTTATGCTCCAAATGTTACTCTCCTGGGCCAGTCCCTGCCTGCTAGTCACAGCTCGGTGGAGACAGCACTGTCCTGAATTGGAAATCTTCAGCTCCCCACTGCTGCCTCAGCTCAGTTTTGTTTCCCCAGTATTATTTTGATTATTCATGCTGTCATACTATGGAACTAGCAGAACACATAACTTCCCCCACCAAATTCTAGCAATACTGTTCTAGAGAAAATCTAGTAGAGCACTTGACATATCACCAGGCAGAGAGCTTTCTTATCCTACTATGAGTCCTTCCGAGACAAGTTTTACATCACAAGATGCAACCCAACTCTCCACTGCAACCTACAAAGACAGACTGTGGAAACACAGCCAGAACAGGTACAGGGCATCTAGTACACCAGTCTTACTCAAGTTCATTAGTTTTCCTTCTCCCACCTCAGTAATGGTCCAATAGGTTCTTCCTCCATATTCAGTCTCAGTCCAAAATGCTCTGGAGTTACGTCTTTGCTCATCTCCAGTGACCCCAGTGGTCGATCAAAACTGAAAACAAGCTTTCAAATCTGACCAAAGAAGTAGATTCCAGGCTTGCAAAGAGGTTACCAAACAAGTTTAATAAAGTTCTGGGCTTGGCGTGGCACTAACACCGCCCTTCAGCAAGCGTCTGTGATGAAAACAAGAATTACCTAATGCGGAAGAGGACTGGGATTATCTGTCACAGGCTGAGCCTCGGTAGGGTAAGGCTGCAGCTGCTGGAATAATGGAGAGTCTGCTATAAAAAGCACATTGCTTGACAGCTCCAGAATTTTGGCTAGAAAAAAAGTTTCCTGAGTTCTCCCAGCATCATTACCAAAAGCACATATTAGACAAGACTCGTTCCAAGAATGAACAGATCAAGACTTTCCCAAATGAAACTATGCAGACAGACTTGTTTCAACATTACTTGCTCCCAAAGGGAGTGGGAAGGTCCTTGCGATACTCAACACAACAACCAGTGTGGTAAGTCCTCCAATGCTTTGCTACTTCCATATCTAGAACTCAACTTGTAGTCATTTGGAAGAGGAAGACTGTGGGACACAGCATCAAAAAATCTGTGTTTATCCTTTTTTCCCCACTTTGATCCTGTATCAGCTCAATCAGGACTCGCTCCTGCATTGCTTACAGTCAAATTAGTCTCAGCTACTTACTAACTACAGAGAAACCAAATACATTACACTAATAATCCACAATCTCCTGTCACACTTGTCCTGTTTAAGAACAGGGTCTGTGTTTAAGCACCGCTTTTTATGGAAAGGTCACCAGATAAATTTAGATCTATTCAGTTTGTAAGCTGTGGTAGTTTGTTTTTAGATACGTTGTTTACCAAGCAAAAAATAATAATATGATTTAGCTGCCAAGAACTTTTCCCATGGAAATGATTTTTATATTTATAGTTTATATTAGAATTATTTTTAGGTGACCTTTTTCAGAGTCTTCAGAAAACAGTTAACAAAGAAACAGCACACATGTAAGGACTCTTTCAGAACTATGATAAACACAGCAAACTCATATAGCTTACAGGTACACTTCAGTACTGACACTGCAGAAAACAGCCTTTAAACTGCATTCAATCTGGATCGAAAGAACTTTATTCATGAAGAAGCAATCCCTCCCTGATGGGATGCTGTGTACCAGTCTCAGTATTGCTAGGTAAACTGCTTATTAAAGTTTCTGATCAATATTAAACTAAATTAAGACACAAGGGGCATTGCATACACATTGCAGTCAGTGAAGCAACACTAAGTCAGTCTGCCTGGAAGATCACTTCTATATCCAAAGAAGGGGGACTCAAAAAACATGGCAAATCCATCAGAAGAATAAGAGAACTTTGGGAAGACACTATCAGTGAAGACAGCAGGAACCTTACAGTCAAATCCCGGTGCCACACTTTTCACGTTGTACCCCACAAAGTCAGCCACCTCTTCTCGGTCTACTCTGCTCACCTCATGAGTCCAGCTGCCTTGTGTGGAGGAGATTTTTCTGCCTGCTTCCCTCTCTGCTTCATGTCAGACAGTCGCTGCCGCATGTTGATGGTCATCTCGGAGCTCAGACGCCAGATGAAGATACAGCTGAAAGAAGGAAAGGTGAGGCTGGCGTCAAGTCTCAGTTCAGTTTATTATCAATTCCCACTGCAGAGGCAAACAAGCACCCTTCTGTCTGCAGCAGGGAGAGACACATGCTTCACAGAAACTCAATCCCATCACAAGCCTCATGACAAAAGGGTAAAACCTGCCTGGCAAAGACTCCCTGTGGGCGAGAGCAACTGCAGAGGTGTTTGCACTGGCTCATCTCTGATCCCATACCTTTATTTGACTATCTGACCAACTACTGAAGGGAATGCCATAACAAGTCCCTCCGTGGTCAGCAGGAAAAGTGGAGCCTACAGATGTTCTTTGCATCCTCTAACAGTGGCTAAACTGCAGCCTCTGATTGAAGTTACCCCCACAGGCAAGGCCTTCCTAGTGCCTACTATCCCATGGAGTCTCTGTGGTGCAATAATGGTTAAACTTATGTGGCAGTACTTTTTGCAGACAGGGTGCTCCTAATATTTTACTTGGACTCCCTCCAGGAAACTACTAAGGAATTTGACTGAATTCGATCAATGGATTCAAAAGAGTTTAAAACAGGGAAATAAACAGTGTGATCTCATTGGTCTCATTTTCTTCAGAAATCTGGATAAAAATAATAAAAAAAAATCCCTCATCGCATTAGAGAATAGTGTGTCTCATCTTCAGCTACTAGAAAGTAAAATGGCCAGCATTTTATTTGAAATTTAACCTCAGTGCTAACTAATTCTTTTCATCTCACCCATCTTTCCTGTCTAGCTGGGTATACTTACACTGATGCAGAAACAGAGGTGGTGCTTTTGCTATCACTTACAAAATCTTGCACCGTACTTTGGAATCCAAAGAGGATTTAATCCAGTTCTTCAAGACCCATTAGCGCCACCACACTCATGGGTACTTCAATTCACAAAGGAGTTTTCAGTAAGAGGCTTTCTAGTCTTCCTTGCTAGTCTAAAAATTCACTTGCTCTGTCATTTTGAACAATGACCATGAACTTCGGTCTCCCTGCCCGAGGCAAATGCTGAAAGCACCAGGATCCTGAATACCTGCATCTTCTTCATTTTTTTTCCTTTCATGAAAAGACATTTTAAAAGGTTTTTATTTCCATACCACACAAATAGAAAACAGAAATCTGACTTTGCAGATTGTGGAGATTTTAATGAAAAACTAAAAATTCCCTTCTTGCCCCCAGCACCACTTTCTTTGTGACAAAGCTCAGGAGCATCACTCCCAGCTCCTGAAGTCACACACAGACACTTCCCATCAACAGTGAACACACTGTCATCTTCCTGACCCAGCTTTTCACCCAGGAGAAAGTGGTGAGGCACTGCATCTGGAAACTATGGCAAGCTGGGGCAGCCAGATGCTTCCCCTCAAGCAGCAGCTCTCTCAAACATAACAGCAAACATAATCTGCTGCTGAGAAAATACTGAAAAGCAGGAAACAAAATTCAGAAAGCAAACCTGGCTTGTTCATTTATCCCACCCCCACAGCTATCAAACCTGGAGATCTGTAACAAACAGTATGAACTTGTAAATACATTTGCATTCAACACAAAGCTCTACAGAAGCATGTTCCCACCTACCCCTTTTGCTGCTTTTTTTTTTCCTTTACAGTACTTTTCTCACATGGGTCTCCCAGTCCTTGTGCCCTTTCCTAATCTCCATTTTTCCTTCTATTCTCAGTTTTATTCTTTGCACATGTTGCTGTGCATGAACAGACTATTTTCCCTGTTCTCCTCTGAAAAATATGCTTTCTCATCTTCTTACAGCAAAGTTCTGTATGAATCCTTTCCTCACTTCTTATCCACCTCCTCCATACCCTTAGTGAAGAAAATGACCCTTTCACTCACGGAAATGGGGTCAACAAGGGAACATTGCACTAATTCACAAGGATCACTGGGGACCTCAAACCTTCCATGTTTCTGGAATTTATCATAAATCCACAACAAAAAGACTCTCTCTTCTGCAAATTTCCCCTAATCTACACATAGGAAAGGTAAAGACAGAAGAAAAATAAATAATTTGATTTACACTGAAAGACAGAAATAACCAACTGATGCAATGTAAGGTGATATATTGTATGTTCTGTAACAACTCACCCTCTAAAACTCTTTTTCTGGTTCAACTGTGTTTTATTCATAGAAAAGAGAAAGAAAGAGAAAGAATCTGGGTTGCTCTGGTCTTGAAATAGCACTCCAGGAACCATCTTTCTCAAAGGAAAAATGTTATTTGGTTCAGCTGATTTAAGCATTCACTGATTCCAGAAGTAGTGTGCCCACTCACCTCTACAATCACCATATTAGGTATATATTCTCCTTTTCCCCTTGGGTTCAGTCCGGTGATTATTTAAGCTTTTGGTGAGCTGATTTTGCTCACTAAATCAGCAGAAAACCCAACTGGGGGTGAAGGGGGTGCTTATGTAGTGACCTGATCAGCTTAATGAGGGGTCAGCCACACCACAGCTGACTTAGAGGAGTGGTGGTTGTTTCTTGAACCAACTCCTTAGAGGAGTGAGGATCATATGGACAGGAGCAAAAAGTGGGGACAGGCCTGCCCCTTCTTCTACTGGGCAGGCTCATCCACCTGGTGAAACCTCACCTACAGGAGTACCATAAAACAAAGTTTTGGCAACACTGGTCAGAATGTCACAAGCTGCCTTACATTACCTACCTGAAGGCTGGTAAGGAAACAGGCCGCATCCCTGTCTCCTTTTCAGTAGGGAACCTACACTCGGAAAACCACAAGGGATGTAACTCACGTGGGTGTCTCATTCATGGAAGGATAATATAAATTCTGTGAGCTTTGCCAACAGCACACATTTGGGATTCTGAAAGCTCTGAGGTTTATTTGGAATTCATAAAACATTCCTCACTAAAAAAAAAAACAAACTACCTTCCTTCAGGACATATGTTAAATCCAGTGTGAGATGGCATGAGCTGATATCATAAACAAACCCCTCTTACCTGTCACCAGAAACAGAGATCAGATGTTTGCAGTCATTACTGAATTTCATCCCAGTTACAATCTCTGTATGAAATAAAGCACAAGGGGGAAAAAAAAAAGCCTTCCCTGAATTATTCCAGTGAGCAGAAGAGATCATTAGCCAAATAGCCTATCTGTGCTCAGTAACTCAAATTCTGATTAAAGTCAACACACTTCACAAGTCAATATGCCCCAATTACCATAACCATTTAACAAAGAATCTAAACATGACATGGAAAGGGTGTCCTGCAGCAAAATAATCACAAAAACTGAAGTCTCTTTTTGCCTATGATAGAATAGCCTCTGAATGCTAGGAGCTGAGGATATATCATAATGAAACTTATTATATGCTGAAAAACACAGACTACCTCATAGACTATTAGAAAAACTATGTAAACAAATGCATGGCCTGGCAGGCATGTGCGTGCTTGTGTTTTGCAACGCAAATGCAGTCTGAAAGAAGTTGAAATTGCAATGAAATAAGCTATTACAACTTCATCCAACTGCAAACTACTCCAATATACCCACTGAGTAAACTTTGGAGGGGAGGAAACTTCAGAAAGCTTTGACTAGTATCAGACCCTACTGTATAGTCAAAGAGCAGAAAAAATGCATTTCCAAAAGTTTACGTGCCTTACCTGAGTGTCCATACATGGTTGCAACACACTCGCCAGAATAGAAATCAAAGATGGAGAGGTTCTTGTCAGAACAACTGGTTGCGATATAAAGACCAGAGGGATCTGTTTGCACCTGGTTTAGGAGATGAGAGAAGTGCAAAGATCAGGTGAGAAAGTGCCTCCAAACTGCATGAAAATGGTCCAGAATACCCAGGACAGTTCTAGTAGTTAACAGAATAAAATGTAAGGAGCTCTCTCAGGACTCCAATCAAGTACCAGGCTATCTAGAATCCCAGGACAAATCTCCAACCTGACTAAACTGCTAAAACTATCTCCAACCTAACCAGAGACTAAAGGCACTTGATGTAAGTGCCTTCATGACTGTGAAGGGACCACCACCAGTGGGTAGATTTACACCTCTCTCTCCTACCTCGTTTTAACTGGGTCTTACTTCATTCTACCTTAAGATCAAAACAAAACAAATCACCATCCTTCCTTCAAAAAAAAAAAAAAAAATTAGAGATGACAGAGTTAAGTGAAATGTTAAAAGACTCCAATCTTGAGGAGAGAAACTAAAAAATAACTCAACACTGCCAATAAATTGTCTTTGATAATGATGCTGTCAAATCTCTAGCATTTGCAACTTGTATTTTTGGATTTTTTTTTTTTATATACACCCATTTGTTTCTTTACCTTGGATCAAATATAAAACCTTCTCCAAATGCCTTACTAGTTCTAAAGCAGCACTACACAGCAAACACACCTGCTGTCACCAAGTGTCCTGCTTTGTCCTTTGCAGAACTTTAAAGAACTGAGATTGAAAACATCTATTTTTTGAGGAAGTCATGGTATTTAAATAACAATAACCTTTTCTGATTATTTTGTTGCGCTATCTTTTGCTTCCAATGTCACTGTTTGGGTTCTACTTGTTAAACTGCAATGTTACCATCTCAGAACAACATGCCAAGTTTAAATTCCAGAGATAACCATAATTCCTTGGCTACATAATCGTTCTAAAAATTAACAAAACAACATTAAAAATAATTGAGATTCCCCACTTGAGCTACATGGGAAAAAAAACAGCAAAAAGGATATTAAAAGCAAAAGATCCAGCTCCCAGCAACATTTCGTGATATGTGGTCTGAGAAAGATATAATCAAGTACCTGATCTTACCAGCAATACAGTGTAGCATCCATTTTTCATTTTCATTACTCAGGTTTATAAAAGCCTTTGTAGGACTTACAATAGGCAAAGAGAAAAGGAACTTATCTTTCTCTATAAAACAGAATAGGTGACACTGAACAAAGCACATTGCTTTCCTCTCCCTTTTTACCCAGTTATTTACACCCATCAGTAATAGTCTAGACTAGACTATTTCAGTTGTAGGGGACCTACAAGGATCATCCAGTCCAACTGCCTGACCACTTTGGGCCTGGCCAAGTCAAAGCACGTTATTAAGGGCATTGTCCAAATGCCTCTTAAACACTGACAGGCTTGGGCCATCGGCCTCCTCTCTAGGAAGCCTGTGCCAGTGTCTGACCACCCTCTCGGTAAGGAAATGCTTCCTGACGTCCAGTCTGAACCTCCCCTGGTGCAGCTCTGAGCCATTCCCACGTGTGCTGGCACTGGGTCCCAGGGAGAAGAGCTCGGCACCCCCCTCTCCACGTCCCCTCCTCGGGCAGCTGCAGAGAGCCATGAGGTCTCCCCTCGGCCTCCTTTTCTCCAAGCTAGAGGAGCCCAAAGGGCTCATCTGCTCCTCACAGGACGTGCCTTCCAGCCCTTAATAATAATACTGCTGGCCTGTGCACCTGAGCACAAATATTTGGTTTAAAAAGTAGAAAAATTATCGGTGAAAACAAACACAATGAAGAAACTTGTTTGAAAACTTAACTTGAGAGAGATTTTTGTTGTATCAATTGGTCCTCCCCCTTTAAAGACAAGAGTGCAATTCTTCCACATCACAATGTGCTGTCATCACTCCTAACGCTGAACCTCTAACGCATCTTATTTACCAGGGGAAGCCCAGGACAGTGGCAGAAGCAGGCACGCTACCCTCCTCCAAGGCCTGGATGCACTCAGCAGTTGGGAAACATGAACAGACTCTCTCTAAGCAGTCCCAGGTTTGTCCAGCACTCCAAGACACAAAGAATATGAGCTTTTCTGGGCAGATGCTACTTAATTTCATCAACTCATAAAGAGTTTAATTTCTTTTTGTCCTCTGGAAACCACAAATTTCTCAAATATTGATCAACAGGCAGCTCCATCTTAAAAATCTTAACAAAAATAGTCAAGAAAGCAAGAATGAGCTCTCTGGAGCAGAAAGTAAAGGGTTAAAGTAAATGGACTAAATCATCTCCTGACAGAAACTGGTGCAGTTCTACTTGTTTTTACAGCATGGGCCTGTGCCTCACTTCAGAAACAGGACAGAGACAGAAGTTATACATTAATTTCAGCATTCATTGACTCTTTTCCTGTTTTAGCCTGATGGAACCCAAATACATTACCAGCCCTTAAGGACAGAGGTAGGAGAAAGCAGCAGCAGGATAAAGGACAAAGTATAGAGCAAGAAAAAAAATAAAAGTTACTGTGTTCAGATATGTATTTCATTTTCTTAGCTCTGAGCTGCATTCAGAAGAGCTGGAAAAAAGGAAAAAGGAAGAAAGAAAGAAAACAGCTTACCTTGATAAGGGTGCCATCTTCACCTTGGGATCCCTTGTAAAGCTTCTTCTGCTTCCCACTGCTTATGTTGAAAACCCTGAGGGGTATGATATAAGACAACATCACTCATTTGCCCGGGTACTGCTCTGTGGCTCTTGTCACTAGAATTCTTTTCTCTTTCTGTTCCTCAGTCTACATGAGATACAAGGAACAGGGCCAAGCCACAGGAAGCAGAGAAATGATCTCTCTGAACTATAACCACCAACCATTTAAATGGTTCAAGAAACAACCTCAAAAGTAATGTAGAGGCCCAAGATTGAATGGTATGATATCAAGCTGATTATCCAAATTCAAACTGAGGCTTGATTCTCAAGCTGATAATCAAAAACTCATATAGCATCATGGCACTGAAGGAGAGATCAAATGGAAGGCAGAAAACCTTGTCAAGCCTTGTAATAGCTAATGGTTATGTAGCAGGAATGGCTCTTAATAAGCTTTGGTCAGCCCTCCCTGCTATAACAATACCCGTGGCTCCCTCATACTAAAGGGAAGGGTTAAAAGAACAGACCTTTTATTTCCATTAGAATACAAACCCAAATGACATTCAGTAGTGGCATTTAGCTGTGACCAAAACTTCAAATCTCACCCAGATACAACAGGAGGAGACACACAACTACAAAGTTTCTTTTGCTTTGAAAGTAGAAGTGGACAGATCGGAGAAATAGATAAAAAAGGTATAGAGAATGGATTCCACTTGCCCAAAGACAGTCACAACTAGCTCAGTTTTAGGTTCCTACAGTCCCAGATATTCCACAGGACCTCACAGCTTCTCACTAGACATACCTTTAAAAGCAAAAATTGCCACAGTGCAGAAGTTCTTGCCCCACAGCTCAATGATGTGCCAAGGAAGGCACACTTGCTCTCCCAGAAGAAAGGCTTTGTTTTGCAGAGCAACTCAGCAACAAGCCAAGAGTCCCACGGGCGTTTGCATATATCAACAGCCTTTTATCAGTGAGGGGAAAGGCAGATTTCAACCTCAGAGTGTGAGGTGAGGCCTCAGATCTGTCTGAAAATGCTGTGTCAAAGAACCTAGAGGAACAATGATGGAGATGGGGCTGCCTTGGCCAACTCATTTGTGAGTGCAAAAATATTTTCAAGACAAGAAGTAAACTCACCTGATGTTACGATCCTGGCATCCAATAGCTGCATATTTCCAGCTGGGGTCCACATCCATGTCATACAGAGTGGTCTTCCTAACGATGTGATGTGTTCGGGTAAACTGAACCCCTTCTCCTGTCTAAGCATGTGGGTAAAGACTGTGTCAAAATCAAGTAGTCAACCCATTATTAAAAACTTCTAAATACAGATGAGTCTTCTCACACAGCCAGCTCAAACTAACCCTTCCCACTAACCAGGTCTGCTGGGAGCAGCTGGGACTGGAGGTTCAACGAACTCTTCCCTCCAGCCCATATTCTTTTACCACTCCTCACAATAGCCCTGGCAGTGAAAGAAAAGCACATATCCTAACAGTTCTCTACGTTGCATCTTTCTGAGAGAGGTCAGGATGGGAGCAGCCGCATGCTTCACAGAACTAGTTATCCAAATGTAATCTCTTGCATTGAGTCAGTGGGAGATACTGAGGCTGAAATAGCAACAAGCTCATACAGAAAGTCTGATATCACTCTTTAAAGTAGTTCCTTTGTGGAGAGATTATTTTAAAAAGTGCACAAAAAGCTGTAATAAAGTTACCTTCTGCGCAGTGCGGAAATAGATGCTCTTGTCTGCCCCACAGCTTATCATTCGCACTTTCCCATCATTGGCTGGAACAAAAAGGCAGGAGCCGATTAAAAGGTAAACACAGACACAAGGTGGAGGAAATGTTTCAATTTATACCACTGCTCCTTTACTCCAGTCCTGATTAGCAAAGACTGACTCCTACCTAAACAGCAGGATACTGCAGCAAAACAGAAGCCCCTTCTCAGGAACAGCATTTGTTAATGCTCAGAGTGCATAACGCCTTAATACAGAGGCTTTACACAACAGATTAGGATGTAATTCTGTCTTCTCCTTCAACAGTACGCTCACAAGCTTATTCTCTACATGCCACAGCACTCTGTGACAACATGACAAGTTCACGCTCAGTATGAGCTGAAAATAGGCAACAGGCGCTTTTCAGTCCACAGTCACGTTTCCTGCTGCCCTTTCTTACTGCAAGGTCAGGCTTCCCTTCTTCCCTTAGCACCCTTTTGTAACCAATCTGCTCCTTCAGTAAAGCAACACCCGATAAAACTCCATGTAAACGGATCTAATATCACACAAGCCTACCTGAACTGCACCCACTTAGGGCACGACTGCACTTAGCTCACAGACTAGAACAAAGGGCCTTTGCTGCCAGGCCTTGAGTGCAGTTCCCTCATCTCCTAGGAGTTTAGCTGGCTGCATTCAAGGCCAGCTCACTGATAAGACAGACCTCTCAGAGAAAACTTTTAACAGCATTGCAGCTCCTTGAGAAAAACCCTGAAAAAGCCTCACAGCGGCTTCAGGGAGCTTCTGCTATGAAGCTTCAGTAAGGTCCCTTCACTTGGGAGCTACTTTCAAGCTGAGGTTCTCATCCTTGAACCCCAAGTGAGCTACACCACAGCAGCATTGCAGCCACACCTGAGCCTGGCCACGTACTCTACTGATCTGAATCCCGACCCTGGCCCATGGACTCAGCTTCCTCATCTGAACTCGAACCTGCCTTGCTGCTCCGGGCTTGTGGCAGGCACTGAACTGTGGCTGACCCTGCTTGCTGTCTCCAGACTGATTCCGACCTTGAATTGCTGATCTATCTTATCACTATGGATTTGTCTGGTGATCTGGACTACTGTCTAGATGTAGTTACTGTCGCTGGACTTGATCTGTTCCCCCTTCTTCAGCTGCTGGGGGACTCTCCCATTGCCAGTGAAGCCACTGCCTTCACCTGCTTTACCTTGGCTACTGGCTTCCCCTGGCAGAGCAGCCAACTCTTGTTGTTCCCCAGCAACAGCACAATACACCACACTGATATCTAACCATCAGTAGTAACTGAGTGCTGGGGATGCAGTGTGCTCCATTACCATGAATGCAAAGTCTTACACTGGTTTGCAATGACAGATTTACTTGTGACTAGTTAATCCCAAAATGACTTTTGTGGGTTTGGGGATTTTTTTGGAGGACGACTGTTCCACAGTTCTCCTCACTAAGAACAGTTGTGTAGCCATCTAATATCAGTTAAAGGGAGTAAATCATGACAGAAACCAGCTTTCCAAAGAAACGCTGAGGACTTCCATCAGGAGAGGTTTTTTGAGTGAGGAGGAAGGAGAGGAGCAAAAAACAAAATGGAAAAGAAGGTAAGTATCATCAAATATCACCTTCTGTTAGGACTGCACCTACAGCAGATGACAAAAAAGCAGCTGCAGCTTCAGCCTGGCCTAACCCATTGTTTAAGCAGTTAAAACTACTTTACAGCCACAGTGGGACAACAGCAGGGCTCAAACCCAGCTTTGGATGGACGTCATGACTCTCTACCTGCAAACTTCACAGCAGTGATGGAAGAAGAATGTTCATCCAGGGTCTGCTGCAAGCTGTAGTCCTTTCCAGCATCCAATACATGAATCAATCTATCCCGACTGGCTGAGGCTAAGAGCTTTAATCCTGTCAAAGTTAAAAAGAATGCAAGACCATTACTAAAGAGTCATTTGCTCTTCCAATCACTATTTTAAAACAGCTTCTCAAGTGATCTTAAGAGGCAAAACATTATACTGTAGCTAACTGCATGCATTTCATACTGTAACAACAGAACAAGTTTCAATCTCAACCTACAATATTTCAAGGAAAAGTACAGGAAAGCCTTTTTCGAAGTCTGGCTCTGCTGGCCCAACACTACATGCCTGCTCTGAAACCCAGGAGTAGCTCACCACTGAAAGTTCTGCCATACCATGGCTGAACACTCTGATTTGCTCAACACTACATTCACATGCAAAAGGAAAGAAGCTTAATTGCATTTACCCGTGTCAGGTTTGGAGTACTCCAGACATAGGATCTCAGAGTCATGGGCTTCCACCTTCAGCATTTCCCTCAGAGATTGCAACTCATATATCCTAAGACACAATATAGCTGATTTCAATACGTTTCATAAAATTAGCAAGACCTGGTTTTGATTCTCACAACTGCCCTGCCAACAGTCTGCACAAGAGGCTCTATGGGATTACCTGAGAGTGCCTATTCTGTCCCCCGAGGCCAGGTGCTCCCCACTGGGACTGACACAGACAGTGCGTATCCCCACCTTTGTATCCATCACTTGTGCATCAGCTTTGTCTGCACTTCCTGCTGAGTTGTAATCAGTGTCCAGAAGTACCTGAGTGTTGTCATCTACATAGATGATTTTCATCAAGTCCTGGGGATACAATATACCCAGAAATATTAAATAGTTACAAAACATTGAAGTGAAGCATCTGACTTAGAAACTGGGCTCCTGGCCAACATATACACTTCATTGGCAGTACTGCTGTAATTGGTGGGATCCTTTAGCTGGGAGCAAACACTTGGCCTCTTCTTATTGTAGGATGAAAGTTTCACAGCTGCGTCTCACCATCACCCTTGGCAAAAGATTTCCCCTTCAAGCTAGAAACTAACCGCATCTCCCGCACAACAGACAAGCTCTGGGATTAGTGATTACAATGCAGTGGGGGACACAGCAGGAATCTGAAAGACTTCTAGGGATCATCCAGGTCAGCCCATGCCTTCTGAGAACTGACCAAAAAAGCAGAACCTTTTTCCACCGTGAGCAGATTGCTGAGGACAGGCAGATCAGAGCTGCTGTGCCCACGGATCTTCCAACACAACTGAGAATGGAAGCAAATGTCCATAAGTAATCACTGTTCTGTATGAGTATCCTCACTCTTATATAAATGAAGTGAGTCTAAACTGTTTCTCATTCAATTCTTCCAAACCTCTGCCTCACTTAATGAGCCTTTGCCAAACAAATCTTAAAGTGGATATACATTACAAAAGAGAAACAGCTCTCCTAAAGCTGTCCTGGGTTGAGTGAGTGGTGGAGGTTTTTTTGGTGGCAGGGGAGGGGGCTATTGGGGCAGCCCCCTGTGAGAAGCTTCTCGAAGCTCCCCCAGCTCCACGTCAGCTCCACTTCTGTTTGGGAAATTGAGCCAATCAGCTGTGCCTCTGCGATAACGTATTTAAGAAGGGACGTGGTGATGGGCAGTCGGACTTGTGAGGAGGAGTTGCTGCAGCTGCATGAACACCAAGGTCAGTGGAGGAACGGAGGATGAGAGGAGGGGGGAGGTGTGCCGGAGCAGAGACCCCCCTGTATCCTGTGGGGAGACGGCAGGGCGGCCCCCCCTGCCATCCATGGAGATCTGCGGTGGAGCAGACATTGATTTATGGCCTGTGGCTTCTGCTTGCCTGATCAAGGTTCTGTGCCCGAAGAAGGCCGGGGTCTCATGGGAAAAGGCAGCCCCGCTGCTGTAATTCAGCGCTGGGAGGATTGCAGCATGCGGGGGAGTCCCACGCTGGAGCAGCTCGGGAAGGGCTACAGCCGTGGGAGGGGGTCCAGTCGGAGAAAGTTGGTGACCCATGATGGAGCAGTGTGGGGAACGCTGCGGCCCATGGGAGGAATTCAAGTCAGAGAAAGTTTGTGGAGGACTGTCTCCTGTGAGAGGGGGACCACGATGGAGCAGGAGGAACAAGTTCCGGACACTCCCCTCACCGAAGATGAAAGAAGTGGCAGCACTGACTGCACCCCCCCATTCTCTGCCCCTGTGCCCCTGGGGGAGGAGGTAGAGATATCGGGAGCAGAGCTGAGCCCGGGAAGAAGGGAGGGGTGGGGGGAAGGTGTTCTCAAGATGTGGCAATGCTTCTCACTGTCCTACTCTGTTATGTGTTGTTAGTGTCTGTAATAAATATATGTTCTTTTTTTCTTCCCCTAACGAGTCTGCCTTTTGCTCGTGATCATAAAGGGGAATTTTTTTCCCATCCCAGTCCTATCTCGAACCAGCTCTCTGTCCCTTCTCATTGCCGGAGGGGAAGGGAGAGAGAGCTGCTGCATTGTGGTTGGCTGCCAACCAGGCCTAAACCACGACAAAGCATATGGCGTGAGCCATTTTGGAAGAGACTAACATTGGTGAACTCTTGGGTGGTTTATGGAAAAAGCAATAGTCCCCAGGACCATTTCAGACAAACTCTCTTTCTACCTGATACTCCCTTCATGTTTCTTCAGGTTCATACATTTCATCAGACTTGTGCTCTGCTTACAGAGAAACTTCTGTTGACTTAGAGATCCAAAGAAGTTTGGGCCTTAACTTGACCCTGTGCATAAGGAGGAGCAATCCCCAGGGCAAGGAGATGATCAAAACCTAGCACCTTACATTGCTGAGGATGTTGCGGTGAAGGGCTGTGCCATGAATGTTGGAGCTCTCAGTGTTCCACAGACGAATGGTGTTGTCAGAGGAGCAGGTGATGAAGGAACCAGGGGGAAGGCATGACTGATTGTTGTCCTTCACCTCCGGATACATCTAAAGGCAAGTAAAATCAAACCCTGAATGAGATTATCTGGCACCTGACATCCTAGACACTGGTAGCAAGTTTCAAAACAAACTGAGATAAAAGGGCTGTTCTCTCTGTTTTGTAAAGGGAAGAGCCAGCCAGTTCTCCTATTGAAAACGTGTTTGCAGACCAGAGCTTCATATTCACTTCAAACAAATGTTCACTGAGCTTCCCTGAACATAGAACATCTCCTTAAGAAGCATGCAACAAGCCAGCATCCTTTGTTCCTAACAGTTCAAAGAGAGAATCTCAACCATGCAACAACAACCTTGCACCACTGTTTGCAGCTTTCAACTATTACTGCCAATTTCTAATCCAGAAGAAAAGGGTGAGACGCAATTAAATAATAACAAAGAGAGTCCTCAACCTCTTCCCACTTTCTTTCCACTTCCCCCTTTCCAGACCACTGTTGGACATATTTCAACATATAAACAATTAAATAGTTTCTTATACCTCCTTTCCTTCCCTCTGAGGGAAAGCTAACTAGACAGACTGGAAGATGACAGCCACTTGGGAGGCTCATTCTGGACGTCCTGGTAAATAGGTTAAGAAGGATCAGAGTTGAGATCTTATCACTTGTTTCAGTTCCTTTGACTTCGGAGCACTTGCTCACCACAGACCTCAAATACATTTTTTTGAAGTCAGCAGTAAACTCTTGTGTATTTTGTGAAAGGAGCCCCTGCATTCAGCTTTCTCCAGTTCTGCTCTTTCTCCCACCTCTCACCTTTTAATGGTGAGATTTTCTTTCCAGTAACATGCTACATCTAACACATTTGATTGGCCATTGCAGTGCAGCCAAAGAACTGTTCCCAGCTCCAACTCAAGCCCTGTAGCAACCACACTAACCACAGGAGGAAATTTGAGTCAATTCTTTCTCTCTGCAGTAAGTGTTTGCATTCAAATTTGTCAGCTCTTCAGATGACTTCCTCAGCTGCAACTTGAAGTTCAACATTTGTGTCTGCAGACAACATACCTCAATGTTCCACACGCAGGAAGAGTGGTACAAAGCGGAGTACACCTTGCCCACTTTCTTCGGGTCTTTGACATCCCATACATACAGGCTGTGGTCATTGTACACACAAGAAAGCCACTGGTTGGTGGGGTCAAAGGTCAAGGCAATCGTGTCTGGATATTTCGCATCAGCCATACCAGAGAAAAGACGACTGCACAAAGAGAGAACAACAGCCTGGTTAACTCCCACTCTCTTGGAGTCAGAGCAAGAAGGAGAAGCATGAGAGTTCAGATTCTCCACAGGGCACTGAAGAGGTGAAAAGTACACTGTGGCATATACAGGTAGAGAGAATAGCTGGCTGGGAAGCCCTGTCTCTTGAATAACCAGAGTCCCAAAAGAAGCCTGAAAGTCCCATGGCAAAAGTCATTCTCCTTGCCATCCAACTCAGAGTCCCACCACAGAGAGGCAACTGACTTTCCCTGAAGAAGGACCAAACAGGACATGTGATCATCACTGGAGATCACCATCATTCACCCCTGCATAACCAAGTGGTAAAATCCAAGTCAAATAATCTCAAACCAAAGGAGAAGGGGAAGATCAAATTATAGTACCCACCAAAAGATGTTTACCGATTGCAGGAACTGCTCTTGTGTGGGACCAAGCAGAAGGCTAAGTAGTGCACTCAAAAAACAGAAGCACACCAGCACAAGGGACAAAGGAATGATTCATTTCAGTGACTGCCTGTCTGACATGCTTGCCTTCCACTCCAACCCCACACGTAGGCCAGCTTGGTGCTGCTTCCAGCAGCTCAAGAGATGGGCAACTGCAGATGGGTACAGTCCTTTCTAGATAGGCAATCTCTCTGATGCAAACTTAAAACCAGAAGAATTCTGCAGAACAAGGAAATGCCTCTTTCCCCAAATCAGACCAAGATCATGCCATGTGAACCCTGTACCTCCTCTACAGGGTCCTCTGTTAAGTCCTGCTGCCATACACATAAAGAAGGAGCTGCTCTCTTGACCTCAGGTGAACACAGCCATCCCACAACGCTGTTAGTGATATCAAGTATGGTAATTATAGCCAGAGTGCCAGGGTGTGGAGAGCAGGGAATTTAAAAGGACTGATGGAGATGCAGGGATGAGGGACAAAGTGCATGGAGCATACCAGACAATTGGGAGCCCTGCTTCTGCAACTGCAAAGCTTTGAGGGCTAGAAGAGCACTGCCCAGATCCTATCGAAAAATCAAGTCATTGATACAGCTGTGGGCAGTTCACTGTGGGCAGCTGGCATCCCACAGAGAGGCTCTGGCATGCATGGGAATATAAGAAGTCCTGTGTTTTCAAGCTCATTTGGAAGTAATTAAAAAAAAAAAAAAAAAAAAAACAAAACAAACTGTTACGATTGTCATCAGCACTACAAATGCATGTTTAAGAATCACATTAATATTTCTGCTTGACTCATACATGCCAGCAGCAGAGAGTATTTTTAAAGGGTCCATGTATACAATTGCTTAACTTTAGCACTACCAGAAACTGGTAACTTTTTAAATTGAGAGAGCTCCTTTTCCAGCTTCCTTACTGGAATATCATTATCTCCCACTGATCTTCTGGAAGAGGACTATACAGTGCACTGTTTGAACCTCAAGTTCCCAAGAAAAGTTTAGACAAAATCTGCTGAGACAAAAGGAGAAAAAAAAAAAAAAACAAACAAAAAACACCCCCCCCAAAATATTCTATCTGTAGTCATGGGAACTCCAGATATCCAGTGGAATGATGGTTGGTGGATGCATACACTTTTGGATTTATTTCCCCACTAGTGACAGAAGTGAAAGAGGACAACAGAAGAAGATTGGGAAAGCCTCCAACCAGGACTGGCAAACAGCAACACACGTGGGATTTTTTCTAGCATAAGCCTCCGCAAGCTGACAGACAGAACTGTATGGAAATAACATTACCCACCTCAGAAGGTGAGAAATAGAGAGCCAAGGTAGAAGATACTGAAGCGTGGTAGGAAAACAAGACAACAGAATGCACAAGAATGAGGGAGAAGAAAGACTACAGACAATAGTAGATTTGAGCCTACAAAAGATTGCAAGGGAGCCTTTGAAAAATGCCCCATGAGAGCCTGGGCATCTCTTAGCAACATCATTGCAGTGCTACAGAGGAGAGTCTTCTTCCCTTACCAGTGATAAGCAAAGGATGTGTCATGGTACAGGAACAACTGAAGTGTGCCACAGCATCCTGTGCCCCCTGCCTGATTGCTCACAGTGACCAATGTCAAAAGGCCACCGGATCCAAGCAATCCCAGGGAGATAAGGAGCAAGACATGCTGTGCAGTCCCGCAACCAGCTCCGGGCCATAGCCCAGCCACGCAAGGCAAGGCTGCAACAACTCAGGGAGATCTGCAACAGGCTGCCGATTTTAATCCATAAAAAGAGCACACTCCAGGTGGCAAAGGTCTGGGGAACAGTTCGAACCCCCACAAGCCTCCCTTTCTCCCTTCCACCCTCTCCACAGTACCTGGCCTCGGTCACACTCGCGATGTCCGTTCCCAGGAAGTGCGGCTTCGGCAGCGTGGTGACAAAGTGAAGGTTCAGAGGGTTAAAAATCCGCACGGTGCCATCAGCGCAGCCACAGAAGATGTAGTCATGATTCACAGAGATGCAGTTTGCCACAGTGGTCTGAGGAGGACACAGCACACACCAAGGAAAATAAGCAATGCACTCTCATTTCAAAGGTCACCAGACACACGACAGGGAGAATAGCAAATTGACAGACAGAGGAGTCATGGTCAGAAGAGCTGAAGTGAAATCGAGCCCTGGGAGTAAGGAAAAGCCTAAAAATCCATTTTTCCTTTCTAACGAGCTTCCCAGCCAAGGTCCATTGCAGATTCCAGGTGGTTAAGGAAAAAGCCCAGTTCCTCTGCCACCCACTGTGGTGGGAGGCCAGCAGAGCTACACATTTGCTCCAGCTGAATCTAAAACTAAACATTCTTTTTTGTTCCTCTGTGACATTCAGCACCACTGGCAGGCAAGCAGCACCTCACCTGTACTAGCACGCCAATACATTACCTGTCACAAGGGGATAATAAAAGAAAAAAAAATGGATTTTCTTTCCCTCCCATTGGGATCTGTACAAATGGCAAAAAATGGTACAAAATGAAGTGTGGTGATAAGGGATGAGTTCAATGTAAAACTTTTTTCCAACTTACTGTGAAGCTGTCTGTATTCTGAGCAAGAGTGAAAGGCAGATTTTAGAGAGGAAAGGAAAGAAAAGAAGAGGCGTTTCACTTGAGTGAAAGCGTGGAAAGACTTTTCCCTTGATTTTAATACACTGGATCCTTTCAGGTGGGCGTCTTACATTCAATTGAAAGGAAAATAAGCACGATCTAAATTCCTAACTATGGACCGACCTGGTGGTTTACAATAGCCAAACCAACTAGTAGCTTGGGAACCTGCTTTTGAGATGCACAAGCCAAATAAGACACTGCTGAATGGGTAGAAATCAGAATCCTTCTAAAACTCCTACTTGTCCAGGCCAAGCCAGGAGGGACAACACAGGGATTGCCAAAGCTACATAAGGACACTGCTTTGCCAGAAGAGCAGTAGCTGTAATGCTGAGGCTTGAGAATGAAAGTGCCTCAATGATTAATAAAATCTCTTTGCCAAGAAGCAATGCTATTTTTGCCTGGCCTTCCAGAGTAAATCACAGAGTGGCAGTGGCCCAATGACTTTCACTGCTGGTGGTCAGCTTGTGCTCCAAGTGCCCTTATTATTTGTTGTTCCTGCTCTGCTTCAGCAGGCACAAATACTGCAGGACAGGAGGATGTAAAACTCACCCTCAGCTCCACCCACTTGTCTAGCAGCCTTTTTTCATTGAATTCACAGAGCAGGCCTGAGGATGTGATACAGAAGGTGCTGTCAGCTTTTTTGCCCCTTCCACAAGCCACATCTGCAAAGAAGTTGTTCCTCAGTTCTCCAAGCAATCCTGAGCGACCTAGCAAGGGGACCGTGGCATTGACCTACCAGTAAAAAACAGTTTGTTAGAAATACAGTGAGGCACTCCAGGCAGATAGACATTTTTTAGAACATCAAGCCTTGGGTGCTAAAGCGCCTCAAAGAAAGAGAGCTACAAACAGCCTAAAAAGAGAGGTAGTGACACATTTTACTTGCTTCAGACCCACTGGTTGCATAGTGTATCGGGACCATCAGTATTAGCACAGCAGTGGAGAACACTATTAGTGCCACCAAAACTGCGCGTCCAACTGTATGACCCAGAGACAACAGATCAATCACTGAAAGAACTATCCTTCCATGGCCAATTTGTGATTTATACCAAATACCAAAGCATGTCCCAGCATAAAGCAGGAACATCTGTTCATGAGAACGCAGAAAAATTATCATATGTGGATTCTGTCCCCCAGAGAAGAATAGCTAAAAGTTTAAATACTTTAGTTGACACTTGAAAATAATACTCACAACCTTCTGAAATACTCATACCAACATCAAACAGCTCCCCCCACCTCTGTGCTCCACAGAGTTCACTGACTGCAGCTCTTTTCCAGTTTTTTTGTCCTTCAATATATGTGACTACTAAAGAACAAGCATGCTGCTATACAACTCTAGGAGCCATGCCCCTACCTCAGCGCAGGGTAAGACAAGCTTTTGGCACTTTTGGTACTACCAGCCCATGGGGAAACTGAGACTTGAGAGCCAGGGGTGGAGGGCTACCCTTGAACCCCAGCAAAATCAAAGAGTTCCCACTTCCCACAGCTCACTGGGGCAAAATCCACCTTGTCATAAGATGGAAATGCCTGTTCACAGCTTGGTCTCGATGCACCTTCTCTCACCTTGGAGGTTTTGCTGTCATCCAGGTACCAGAACTTGATGTGTCGATTTCCAGCGGTGACAAAGTAACTGCAGTCCTCTGAGAATGACACAGCTGTCACTTTACTTGAGACTTTGTTGGCTGCCACTACAATGTTTTTCTGGAAACATAATTGTTTAGATAGCTTAATTTCTTTGCTCAGAAGCAAAGGAAACTCATTTCAATTACAGGCACATATCCAGTACAAGCACTGCAGCAGGGAAAAGACGAGGCCCAAACTATTCCCCATCTACCCCTGAATACAACCTCCCCAGCATTAGCTGAGAGCACTGATTTGGCAGATAGTACAATTTACATTTACATTCAATTCCACTTCCACATTGACTGGGAATAGAGAAAAAAATCAGCAGGCACTAGTGCCTGTAGAAACTTGCTGTCTGAGCCATGACAAACATGTTGGTTTCACAATCACCAGGAGCTCAGAGCAAATCAATTTCCCTTTCTAAACAGCAAAAGCATATGTAGGCTAGCACAAGGAGGAGCTCTCCCGGCCTCCAGGCAGCAATGAGGGCAAGGCACTCAAGATGGGGAACAGTATTTTCTGCAGGGAAAACAGTACTGGCTCCTCCATAAATTCTCTCTTCTCTTCAGAGACCCAAAACACAGAAAGACCATGCCTCTATCGGAAGAGACAAAGCAAAATCTGCTACACCTCAAACGTGCACCTCAAAACGTCAAAGAGTTTGGCCAAGGAGAAAGAACATGGCAGGGACAGAAAACAGGAGCAGACACTGCCCGAGCAGAATGATCAGATGGCAGAAGCCCCCTGTCCACAATACCAGCGCTCAGTTTTCCTCCCCCTGCCTTATCCCAGGGATTGGTAGAAGTGAGAATGAAAAAGTTTTCCCCTCTGCCTGTGGTGGGTTTTCAACCGTGCAGCACATGGCTGACAACAGTGCGCCACTTTTTATTCTCACTCTGTTTCCTTTACCCTTCCTCTCAGGGACCCGGTTGCTCCCAGTCGTCCCAATGCAATGCCCTCAGCACACAAACAACGTCACTCTGAGGGCCCCATCACGCTGTGTGCTGATAGAACTGAAGAAACCAGCAACAGAGGAGACTAGGCTGCTGCACTGTCACCATGGAGGAACCCCCAACCCAGACTGGGGGAAAAGTAAGGGGGTTAGCCATTAACGTAACTTCTTTCAAGACAGCACACGGAGAAAGAAGCCCTTGCAGACCTCAACAGCTGGATCACTGCTGTGGCCTTTCTTTAGGGAAGCAGCAGGGGTTTTCTTTTCCATCACAATCAAATGACTAAGTCTCCCAGCCAGGAAAAACAGGGAAATCGAAGCAACAGCACAGTGGATAGAAGAAAGGTTGTGGTTAAAAGTGCAGGAAAGCACTTTGGGAGATCTGTTTTCACATCTTGGTCTCTTATTATTCTTTGACTTTGGTCAGGTAAAGTTTCTCTAGCTTTGGTACTCAGTCTGCCAAATAAAGGCTAGCTGAACATCCCAATAGTCAGAGTCTGGAGTGTATGCTTAAAGTGTGAGTTCTTCAGCACAGAAGAGCAAGATAATCCTTACTTCACAAGCTCTCATGCACACAAATATAAATAGGATCACAGTGAACAGAAAAACCTCCATAAGCAAGGGAAAACAAAGCTACTTGTACTGTCCTATACATGCCATGCATTATGACCATCTCCAAGTCACCACTTTCATTTGTATAACTAGAAAGAACAAAAGGCTGAGTACTCAGTTTCCAACACTGATGTACACACATACATTTTATCACTACACAGTTCAGCTATACCAAAAAATAGCAATGCCAAACTTCAGCTCATGCAGGAAAGAACTACCAGTGAGATCTTAAATTACACTACAGGAAATATGATGAAAAGAGTAACATACTAAAAGAGCACAGACTTATAAGCTGCAAGAAAAGAGAAGGCTCGGGAGAGACCTTCGAACGGCCTCCCAATGCTTAAAGGGGGGGACAGGAAAGGTGGGGAGGGACTCTGGATCAGGGGGTGGGAATAGGACGAGAGGTGACGGTTTTAAACTGAAAGAGGGGAGATTTAGATGAGATGTAAGGCAGAAATCCTTCCCTGTGCAGGGGGTGAGGCGCTGGCCCAGGGTGCCCAGAGCAGCTGTGGCTGCCCCCTCCCTGGAAGGGTTCAAGGCCAGGTTGGATGGGGCTGGGAGCACCCTGGGCTGGGGGAAGGGGGCCCTGCCCGGGGCAGGGGGGTGGGACTGGATGGTCTTTAAGGTCCCTTCCAACCCGAACCATTCTATGATCATGGGAGATTTAACAGATACATTAAAGTGCTTTCTTTAATCACATCTCTTTTAGAGAGGATTACAGCACTTGAAGAGGTAGCAGGAGCTGCATAAGTGCTTACCATTTATTAATATAGAAGACTCCAAGCCCACTGACAATAAATGTTTCTTTTCCTATTTACAAACAGGACACGCTTAAATGTCTTCTAGAGGATAAGACACTGGCTTTGTTTCCATGGAGTGGTGCCCCAATCAAGTGTCAGAGTGACCTCCATCAGCTCTCACCCACTGTGATCTCTCTATGTTCCCTTTCTTAATCAGGTATGGAATCAGAGTATCACAAAACCTGACACAACAAAACCAAAATAAATCAAGAGCATCCACTACACCACAAAAGAAATCTCTGATTGATGAGGGTTTCCTCCTTCAACCTTACAAATCAGTTTTTAACAAGTCTCTAAAAAAGCACAAGGTTTTGACAAGGTTTCAAAGACCAGGCTTTTCTGACTGGACAGCAAGATGTCACACGTCTCCAAGTATAAACAATATCCCTTCACTGAAGTGACTTAGACCTTCCCTAAGGGACCATAGCACGTTCTCATGTCCAAACTTATCTGTGTCTATGAATGTCAAAAAACAAACAACAACAACGGAATTAAAAAAAAAAGCAGAAAGCAAGATGGAACTGAAATCGTTTACAGTCAGGCTGTCCACTCTTTTTAACTTAGCAGCACCCCGTGGTCGACCCAACCTCCTAGAGAACTCACCTTCCAAGACCACACATTGACAATCATGTCATGCTGGTACCCCACTGAAACGATGTACTTGGAGCTGGGAGAGAAGGCCACACAGGCCACGCCATACTTGTGCTCCTGGAGCTCAGCCACCTGGGTTCGCTCGGCCACGTCCCATACCCGAACTGCTGGCATGTGTCCACTCTGGAGGGGACAAGAACAGACACAGAACAGGAAACTACGCTCGAGGTCAGTTCTGACAGATTTGAGCACATAAATCTGTCGGGGCTTGGAAAAAGATGTCTAGATGGTACATTCGCAATAAGGTTAGAGGTTCCTTTGATTCTTTAAAGCCCAGGTTGAGACTGACAACCTAAGCAGTATGTGCATCTCAACAGGTGTCTGAAAGAATTAATACAATCTCCCCTGCTTTAATAATTTTCTTATACTACTTACAAAACAGCCAGAGACTAGAACAATACTTTTTGATGCACACCCCTGATCTTTGCAAAGGCAGCTCATGAAAAGGATTGTAACAGATTCTATCTCTGGACTCAGTGAACCAAGAGGCCCCCACATCCTCTGCTCTTAACACAGTGTGGACGCCCAAGATCTCAAGCCAGGTCACGCAACACAAAAACATGACATGACTCTTGCGATAACTATCACGCACCATTTGAGGGAGGCCTCGGGGAGACTACCAGCATCACTTCTGTCACAAAGGTAACACATGAATGCGTGCTGCCTGAAAGAGTATGGGCAGGCTAGCGTCAGAGAAAAAGACATGGAGAGAGCAGAGCCTCTGGTTTTACATTTGTTCTCCAGAGAAACAGAAGGTCATGGACTTCAGAAAAGCCAATTCAGCACCTTCTGCCAGGCAATCCTATTCTTTTGTTTAATTGTTTGCTATTAAACCAAAATAAAGCCAGGCACACAAGATGAGCTGAGATGCTGGCCAAAAATGTGCCTGATGGGCAAATCCTACTCAAAAGCCCGCTTGTGATTTCTCATTGAAGTCTGTCAAAACAGTAGCTTGCAAGAGAACATATCCATGGCAACATGGCAAAATGATACCTTTTCTGATCAGCTTTAAGTAAGTCATTTGATTGTGTGGGAGGGGAAAGTCTGATCACAAGGAGAAGTCAAAGCTTTAAAAAATCAGAATTGCGCATGTTTTAACTGTCTTGTTCAAAAGCTTTACCAAGAAACTGCTTGTGGCCTGGAAAAACGCTGTGGTCGTATTTTGCTGCAGTTGGTACAGTTCTCCCTCCTGCAAGGCAGAGCTCAAGTATCAAGGTGGCTGGCAAGATGTTGTGATGAGCTGAATCAGCTGTTCTTCAAATCAATTGCCGTACTTAAAACACATACACACATATGTGTGTATATATACATATATATATATATATTAACCAGCATCTTAGCATACACCCCAAGACCTTAACAAATTGAATTTGTATTTCAACATTTAAGAAATGCTCACCAAAAGTGAGCTCTGTGTGATCCTCATGGATGAGGAATCTATGCCTCCATGGGAAGGAGGGATAAAAATTTTAAAAAGAAAGAAAAAAAAAAATATTCTGGATTTGGAATATATAAAAGACATTTAATATGTATGGCGGCCAAGGACTAATCTCCATGCTCTCCTTCCCGGAAAGCCAGCCACACAGAAAACAAAGGTGTTAGTAGGCGGAATTAGCATGAGTCTGCTTGAAAAAGTGGACTCAGAAAGCATTCCCCTCTGGGACAGAGGTTGAACTAGGTCAAAACCGCTGACACCGGCAGGGGACACTGCTACACTAAGTAATAACTCAAATTTCAGACACGTGGGACGATACCGAAAAGAGAAAAGGTCTTACAACAGGGCAAGAGGAGACATGTTTTGCAACAAGGCAAAAAAAATTTTTCAAGTATAACTGAAAAAAGCTTTTTCTTTAAAAAAAAGAAATCTGAACTTGACATTTACCCCAATTAAGTTTCGAACTGGAAAGCTTGAGTTGCTAATAAGAAAAATACCTGTTTCATTTTTCACCAATTTTTCTACCCCACATGAAAAGAATTAGAGCACCAGAGGTTTTTTAACAAAAAAAAAAACAAACAAAAAAAAAAAAAGGTGGCACCACAATCATCAGAACTGAACACCAGGGAGAAAAAAAAATAGATAATAAAAGTTTTCTATTACATTAGGACTTCTAGAGCGTAAGGAGGCATTAAAACAAATTACAGCTATAAAGCCTTGTGCTTTCACTAAAAAGTGAATAACATCAACAATCTCTGATGTTCTGATGGAAAACCTGTGCTTACTTCTTCTGCGTCAAGGTGGCCTCCACCCCGCACCACTGTCGTTTGCCTCCCTGCGCGGGTGCATGCAGGCCCCGGGCCCAGCTCGGGAGCTGCCATCATGGCGGCTGCACTCGGGACCACTGGGGCGAGCTGCCTCCGCCTCCACAGCTCCCACACAGGGCTGCGACACACTTCTCTGTGGCTGAGGCTCAGGAGGGGACCTGTTTCACATGTGCTCCCCCCCCCCACACGTCTTTCAGAGGCACAGGCACGAGTGGTAAATTACCATCAATCATACCCAAGAGCAAACTGAGGCCAACCATATGGGGGACAGTCAGCATTTCTGTGGATTTCTAACATCCAGCAATTCCAGCCTCATGACACAGCCCATGCCTTGAACTTCTAATGCAGAACAGACACACAGCGTACTCATCCTTATTCTCCCCCTTGGGCATGTTTGGAAAGAGGAAGCAATTGCCACCCCCAGCCAAACATACAGTGCCAAACCACAGGCACCAGCATCTTCTGTCACTATTCCTAAAGCTCCATTCCGCGTGCACTTTTCACTTTTTCCACAACACTGTTACTGGCTTCAGTTACTTCCTGAAATCCTAAATGGACAATGCTAAACTCAGACCAAGATTAAGGACCATCCAAGTACTCTTCATCAATGATAGAGCAGAGCCGTGCTGTGTGCCCTTCCACTCATTTTCACTTCAGCCCACAGATGCCACCCCAGAAGATCCATTCCCCCAAGCTGATGAGAGACAACATGCTGAAAAACCGCCAGCAAGAGCACCCAGAGCCACCCAGAACCCAGTAGGTCCACCCAGAGATGCAACACTGAAGTGGATTTGTCTGTGACAAGGCAGCTCACTGGCTTGTTTTTCCTAACACCATCTGACCTGCTCCAAAAGGCAATGGACAAGGTGTGTCCTCTCTCCTCTCACACTTACCTCTCCTGTAACCAAATATTTTCCATCTGGAGAGAAAGCAAGTGCTGTAATTGTTTTCCTAAAACAGAGAAAATGACACTGAGAAACATTTCCAACATGTGATTTCATTTCAATACGTCATGACTGGGGAGTAGGTTGGGACGAACTGGAGAGAGGCTAAAATCACACATAATAGTCTGACACAAAGGTTTTGCTTTACCAGAGGTCTAACACTTGCCATGGGAACTCCCTGCTGCCCAAGTCTCAAGCAGCATGCCTACAGCACTGGGAAAGCTCCAAAAGTCAAGGTTCATCCTTGTGTCTTTATTCCACATGCAGGACCATGTCCCAGTCCTGGCTTCAATAATGAGGTCATAGTTTTAGGTGGAGGTAAAAAAAAAAAAAGTCAGACACCATGGAATTCTAGTTAGATCTCTTCCATGTCATGCCTATTAGCAGTTCCTTATGGGACCATAATGTTTATGAGGTGGTACCTCATCAGTTGTAACACCTCACATTAGAAGGAGCTGGAGTCAAACCGGCAGGCAGCCTCCCCCCAAGGCAGCTCTCATTGAGAGGATTTAGCCTGAAGCAACAGCAGCTCCTGCACTTCACTCAAGCAATAAAAACCCTGAATTCACCTCTCACAGAAAGCAGGTCCAGCTTAAGGCTTCACTCACCTGGAACTGTTTAGAATATGGTGTTGCTTATTTTTTCTAGGGTTGAACAGCACAACAACACACCTAGATGGAGAAAACAGAAGAACAAAAAGAGTTGACATGACCATGAGTATAGAGAAAACCAAAGAGCCATCCTTGCTGGCACAGCAGCAGCAAAAGCAGCCCCGAAAAGCTGTTTCATCCCCTAACCTCACAGACTGAGCTGGGGCTAACCAGAAATCACAAAGAAAAAGAACAGACCAGAGGGGAATCACAAGTCTCTCCCATGTTGAGGAGTACCATGTGCTAGTACCATAGCAACCAACCTTCCTAGCATCTGGGAGCCCTGAGTCTCTGATTACTCAAGCTGGACAGAAAGGTTAGCCATGAAAGTTTGTGCAAGAGCCCTAATGGATTGTGTCCCCTGCCATAAAAGTGACCCTATGTACTGGGCACCAAACCAGCATGTCTAGAACAGTGTAAGGAGGTCAGGAAGAAGCAAAGGGAGATCTTTCACAAAAGCTTGCAGAGTGAGAAGAAGGGGAAGTAGAGGGGCTAAATGTCTGTGCCTGGCCGTAACACTAGACAGGACAGAAACTGTTGAGTATAGCACAAGTAGTGGCTGGTCAGTTGAGAAGTGAGACATATGATGTCAAAAACTATGACCCAAGGGATGTATCTGAATAAACAACTTGCTCGGGGGCCTTGCAGAAATCTCTCAGCAAGATGAACTGCAAAAGCAAGCAGTAGTAAGCTGGTAAGCAGTATAATCACCTCCACTGGGAGCAACACAAACGCTGACTGGGAGGAGAGGGAAGGAGAAGAGGCCCCACTTCCCCACTAATCTCGCCCATAGCAGGTTGCCTCGATGCCTCAGCCCACCACAGCCAGCCTAGGGCAGTCCCGGGAACCAGAGCCTTCCCCACTCCACACAAACACCCTACACACAGTTTTTAAATCCTCATGTAACAGCATTTGTCTCCTAGCAGAGCACAGTAGCAAGCAGTAACAGAAAACACTCGGTCCTTACTGCCCCCTCCCAAATGCGCAGCTGTTAAGTGAATAAAAGGAGGTAGAACAGCAATTGCTCCGATGATCTTGTGCCCTATCTCTCACTTCAGTTCTAAAATAGAAATTGTGGTTTTCGCCTGTCCCTCTGCTAGTACACACTGCCAGAGCTTGGCAAGTCCCTGCTCCTTCCTTGCTGCGGTGCCAGGGGAGCACTGCAGGATACCCCTGCTCCACTGCCAGCAGCCTTTGTCGCGCCGGGGACTTCACTCACGTCACCATCGCGCTGGGGCTTGCCCGCACCGCGTGCCAGGCTACAGACGGCAGGCAGGGCGAGAAACGCGCAGGACGGAGAAGTAGAGGAGTTGGCCTGAAGCAGCCGAGCAGAAAGGCGAGAGCTGAGGCATCACAGAAACCGGTTGCAGCACCTCACCACCTTTTCAAGACAAGGCAGTGCACACTCACGCACAGGACTAAGCACACCTTGGCACTGGACAAGAACCGTGTCCTCCCAGGCCCCTCTCCATGTCCCCAGCAGCAGGCAGGGCTAGCAGTGCTGCGGGCACAGCTCAGGGTTGACAGAGACGTCTCTAGCATCTCCTTGCCCAGCCCAGGCAGCTGACCCTTCCCTTGGTCTGACCAGGCGACTCTGCCAAAAACAGTGTAAATTTTTAAATGGAAAAAAGAGCAGGAGGGAGGCCTGACACAGCAAGACCTTGAGCTCAGAGTCCTTGGCTGAAGGTGTCACGTTCCATTAACATCGCTAGCTCAAAGCAGACACCGTGAGAGGGTACCAAAGCACCAACCATTCACAAGATATGACCCCCCCACACCCCTTTAGACTGCTCTACTCCTCTCCACCCACACCATTCCACCTACTCTTCTCCACTCACAGCCTACCCGGAGGCCAGAGCAATAAAGGCTCCAAACTTTCTTGACTGTTAAGGCAGACAGCCATGGTTGGAGAGGTAATTTTGTGGAAGAGCAGGGAAAGTGTAAATAAGCAGTTTGTTCTGACTGGGATTGATCATTCTGCACTTTTTACCCTGGGGAACTGATCTGGAGAGTTTCAAGTCAAGGCTATACTATATATTTCTGAGGGATTAGTGTAAAGAAGCAGGTGGTTTGTGATCCATTAACAAGTCAGGGGAGGTTAAGCCTCGCAAATCACGAGATATGAAATAGGAAGTTAGCAGATGTAAAAAATCTGTCTAATCCCAAGCATCTGGCTAATCAGAAAAGCAAAGCAAAACCCCATTATGTGGAGTTGGATAGGGTTAATGGACCAAAATCCTGCTGAGTTATGACAGGGATGAATTGTGCTCAAAATAAGCTTCCAAAAACCAGAAAGAATAAAGGAAAGACACTAAATCCTGGCAAAGACCTTCCTATGCCTCTCTTAAATTTAAGTTTCTGGTTTATTGTGAGGAACTCTGCAGAAAAACAGGACTTAAGAGAAGTGAACAGTCTAAAGAAAGATGCAAAATACAAATCATGGTCTTCAAACCAGGCAAGCAAACAAACCACTTCCTAGAATAGTACAATGAACCACGAAGGCCCAGAGCTTTGCCATTATGAATTTACATGACAGAGCCTTTGGAACTTACAATCATGATTTTTAGCTCAGTTGCACTCCACAGTGGGCTGTCCGCCAGTAGGCCTCCTCCCCCCTTCCCAGCCCTTGGCCAAGGCCAGAGCCCACAGTGAAGGTAAGAGCCACCCAGCTCACACACCAAGGCAAATCAGCAAACCCCTCCATGAGCCACACGGCTTCCAGTGCCAGAGCAGCTGTCACAAGCATGGATATTTTCACTTCGTCTTAAGACAACCTGATGTTCAATTCCCTGTGTTTGACACTTAATTAACAAACTCTACCTGGAGAGGGGCGGAAATAAATCACAGTATCTCCTTACTGGTCAGCATGCATTGATTTACGCCACAAAAAGGTAATTTTAACTCATAGACTCAGTGAAACAAGGTTGTATGTTGTTGAGTGGTAAGCTAGTAACTAGCATAACTTGCTAATTGGTTATGACTTTCTATGCTAGTAATTTAGCCAGGATAAACTAGTCTTGTAAACTTGTTTTCTTAAATTAGCTGCTATCCAATGAAAGCTACCCCACTGCTCTGCTGTCCTCTGCAGATTTTCCACCATCACTCTCCTGTCCACCATGCACAAGGGCAATGAAGACTCCAACCAACTCCAAAGACACCTTATCCAGTAAGACGGCAGGCCACAAGCCACCAATCTTAGAGAGACACAGATACTGTTCTGGGAGTCAGGAGCACCCACCTTTGACAACTGATTGCCTCTCAAAATGCTTGGGAAGGTTTCTAGTCCACTCCATCCTAGAGAGCACATCTCTTCAACAAGCAGAAATAAGCCATTTCTAGCACTTTAATGTCTTCTGAGTGTTCAGGGCAGCCTCAGTTGCCTGCTCAGACTCCCACAGCTCAGTGTGGCCCCAGAGCAGCTCTTCCACCCCATGCAGCCAGCAAGTCATTCTCCAGCTGAAGCTGCAGCCGTTTCCTAAACGAAGTTGCTCAGAGCCCATTAGTACTCTGGACATGCTCCATTTTAGCAATGGAAACTGGTCTAGAAAAATAAAGGGAATGGAGACACTGAAATGGTCAAATCGCTGACCCACCTACTCCACACTGCCTTCAAGTCCAGTAAGGCTACCAAGCCCTCAGGAGACTCAAAGTATCTACTCCTTTCCATTTATGCTGCCTTTAATCTTACCGCAGCTAAATTAATAAAAATAATTACACTGGATAATTAATTGCATACAAGAGCATACACCCATCTATCCGTACTCCACCTTTGTCTCCTCCTTTGTAAGACTGCATTCAGTATTTTACAGCCAGAGGGACGGAAATGGCACAAGGGAAGACAGCACTGATGTTTTTGTTCCTAGCTTCCAATTGTGCATGTAGACCAAGCAAAGTACTTCAAACCTGCACTTCTATAATGGTCACATCACCTCTTTCACCTGCCCCACCCCTTTCCCAAAGTGAAGCTTTCGAAACAAATTCAAGTTCTCGAGACAACTTTGTCTGAAGAGACCTTTTTAAATGCTAGTGCCAACATGCAAACTAAGACTAGCTCCACAAGCACCTCACATGGGACCTACAGAGAGAAAACCTGACCCTGGTGCACCCTAGTTGTTTAGCAGGTCAGCATTGTTAGCACCCTTGTTTCAGCACAAACCCCATCTCCTCTGCAGCTGCAGGCAGGGCTTGATGACCACAGCACCTTTTTAATCCACAAGTATATGCTGATTTCCAAGACATTTATAGAAACTATTCACTGCTGTATGGATTACTGCTGTACAAACTATCTACCAGCCAGATGAGATCAAGTGTCCTGTTTGTTTGCATGCTGGTTCCTGCAGAGGCTGTTGGCAATGGCTTACGTATTTAAAGGTTTTATTTCTAGGTCTATGATGCCACTCCACAACCTTTAAGTACGCCTTCCTGATGCAAGCAGGTTTTAAGAACAACTTGGCTGTGGATTCTCTCCCAGTTCTCCTTCTTGTGGGACATTCAGGTAACCTCAAGCACAAGGGAAGGACAGAATCAGCTCCCTCAGCAACGTCAAAGGTTTTTGCAGACAACCTGAGCTCTCTCCATGAGGGAGCCCATTTGGGTCAACCGACAAGGAAGTGGTGAAAGGTTCCTTGCAGAGCTTTCCAAACCTGCACGAAGGCACAGCCCTATCTTAGACATGTACAGCTGTGCACCATATATGAAGATAAAAAGCTGATGTTGTTTCAAAGGGAGGGAGGACAGGGGGGAGAAGGGAGTGTCACAGCAGTTTCTATTGGCTCCAACAAGAGGAAAGAAAAAAAAAAAAAAAGGCAAAATATAAAAAAGCAACAATTTCCCTAAGCTAAATATAGGAGCAGAAATGGAGAGGAATCAGACGTCAGTATCACATTTACACGAAGTATCTGACTCACTAAGTCAGCAGCAGTGGATCATTCCAAGACGCTCCCCCCACCTTTACTTCTGCCTTTTCTCCTACTGGCTTCACTCCTGCTCTTTTCAAAATCCTAGTTCCTGGGCATTTTACT